TATAAAATTAAGTCTATATTTATTGTATTTACTAAAGTGTAATTATTATTTAGACAGCCTGTGGTATTTGACGGTTGCGTTAATTATCTTTAAACGTATGCACGACAGCTTGACCCCAATGCGCTCTTCAATAATTTATTCTTGTTATTGCTACTCTATGTACATATCACTACATAGTATAAAACAAAATCGCTTTCTCTGTCCTTATAGCCCTATGTATGCTTAAATCTTTAAAACTACGCAACGGATTTTGATGCCATTTTTTAATAGATAGAGTGATTGAAGAGGAAGGTTTATATATTATGTATAATAACATCGATTAAATAGTGGAGAAATCAATAATAAATTACAGTTTCCGAAGCGAAGCGAGGGCGGGTCGTTAGTCTACTATATATGTACTCATGAAGTTTATGACAATAAACGGCTCCATTGTTACCAAATTATTTTTCTAGATGGGTAAACGACAGCTCACTTGGTACTAAGAGGTTACCGAAAGCCATAGACGTTATAACGTGAATAACGTGAAGTCGAAGCCTTAATTGCGTTGTATAACGTTCCAACCTTTGAAAGCATGGCTGCTTCGCGGCAGACATAGACAAGACTGTGGGTGCCCATCGGTGTGAGTCTACAATACGCTTTAAGATTGCTTTGCTCTAACTAATCGTTGATAGCCTAAGGGCTATTCTAACTACGCGCGGACGGATACCTACGTGAGCTTAGGGGGCTCAGCCTGAGAGAACTTGCTAACACTAGCCCTAGCAAGAGCAATGCTCCGTTGATACTACAATAGGATCGAAATCACACGCCTTAACAACCTTATTTGTATTGTTTTGAGGTAACAGATAAATAGCTTTCTAGTAAAATTGGATAGTAATATAATAGAAACTTTTGTTTAGATGGAGCTCGAACATACAAAAATGTAAATTTTTATATATTGCGATTTCTTGTACCTTGTCTACGGATCCCCTTACAGTCCGCCGACCGTGACATGCTAGGTCATGCGCTCATGCGTCTTTAAATATTTTTCCCCTTAAGCAAATTAACTTTTATAAACATGTGTATGTAGGTACGTGTGTCAGGGCTTCGTTCGCAGAAACAACATCAATGCCACTGATTCACCATCTCGTTGATCGCGGTTAAATCTTTATATGCCTCGGTTGATTCATTATTGGTGTTCAATGTCATATATTTTTCTTTGGATGTAGTCGTCCTTTAAATCGGTTGTTACATAGACGGGAACTGTTGGTGCAAAAATTAATAAATGCATGAAATAATAAATGACAGGAAAATTTCGTATGCTTCATTTATAGTTTGCCATTTGCAATTGTTTTACGTAACATAATCAAGTAAGCAAAACGCACCTTTCGGACACGATTTAAAAAATTTGACTTATATTTGTAGAATTATCTGTTTGTTTATTCATGCTTTGCGTTGGAGCGTATTTTGGTCGATTTAGTCCAAACATTGTCAGCAGGGAATGTTTCACGGATAGTCGTACTTTTAGTGTAAGATAGGTGGCTCCAATTGTTTCAACAAATGTGCATATTTGATCATTTTACTGCAAAGCACATACAAGAGATAATTTCAGTAATGTGCCACTCGATGCTCTTCCGTCTCCACCAGCGTCTTCACTACATAGTATAAAAAAAAGTCGCTCTCTGTCCCTATATCTGTCCCTATGTATGCTTAAATCTTTAAAACTACGCAACGGATTTTGGTGCGGTTTTTTTTAATAGATAGGATGATTGAAGAGGAAGGTTTATATGTATAACAACATCCATTAAATAGTAGAGAAATCAATAATAAATTACAGTTTCCGAAGCGAAGCGAGGGCGGGTCGCTAGTTCTACTATAAATACAAAGTATAAAAACAAAAACACGAGAAATTTCAATCGATAAATTGTTGTTTTTTCGTACAGTCCAAAACTATAAAATACCGATTGCTAATATCGATTTTCTAAAAATTTGTTTACTACAATGCAACATCGGTTATCTTACAATCCGGTACGGTTTGTAATTTCGTAGATAATACGTATAAAAAGTATCGTTATCTTGGAGTTTGTTTATTGTAACAGTTCTCTATTCTGTACACGGTCGTAACATAGTACTAGAATGTGTTAATAAAGACAGTGATCATGAGATGATGGTGCACCTAAGGTTGTAACTTCCCATTTTATGCATAAGAAAACGTGCAATCTGTGAACTATGAGCGTTAGTAAATAAAGTGATAGTAGAAATTGTGTGTGCGTTCAAAATGCGGCTTCACCTTAATATTGTTTTTTTTTTAATTCGGAAAGAGACTACTTTATCAACGTGGTATCGATTTAATTTATAAAATTGTTATTACCTAATCCTCAGTTTTGAATAACAATAAAAAAATCAGCAAAATCTATCATAGGTATTCTCGTACGATGGTCGAATGAACAAAATAATAATATGTATAAAGAGGCAGACAAACGATTCACAAAATCTAAATGTAAGGTCAAGTAAAGTGAGTGCAGCTTAATAATTTTGTTGTTTTTGTTGTTAAAATTATACATTGTGCAAACACATTCAGTTTTCTGAAAATATAACAGTCTATAGGTATTGTTTTTTTTTTTTTGTTATTCTTTATTACAGCCATACACCTATTAGGTTAAGTCGGTTAGGTGTTGTTGAAAATTTAAGTATTTGGCCTATATGTTATATACTCTATGTTAAATTAGAGATAGCCGATATAAGTTCGATATAAGGAATGTTTAGGTTTCATGAATACGTGTAGGTTTTTATTTGTTAAGACCCGAGAACAAATGAGATATAGGGCAATTAATTAAAATATAAAATAATGCCTATTATTTAATTATATTTAATTACTTAAGATAAAGTTAACGTGACTTTGGACTAATGTTCAATTAATAATCAAACTGTACTACTAAAGCAATGAAACAAATTGAGTACTTTAGTTCGGTTTTTCGGATTATATAAAATGACCTGTGATTTATAATATGTATCTACGCCATGTGATTTTTTTATATCTTTAAAAGTCACCATCTGCCCTTCTGTTTCTCCGCGTACTTCTAACCTAAGCTACTTTAGTGATTTGAATCATTGATTGGTGTTCACTCATAAAAAGGGCCATAAACGAGAAATTTAGGTTTGGAAACCTTTGAATAATGTAATTGAACATTTTTCAAAAAAGGTAATAATTAATTTGCTTCAAGCACGTGAGATAGATCTGAAAAATACCTAGCTCTAAAATATTATTGTATCGGTTGTGTGTGAGGTGTTTGATATTTGAAAAATTAAGTTGGCAGGTACGTAAAAACTTTCCGAAAACCTAAATAATCTACTTTCACATGAAATTGGTTGTGATTGCTCGATTTTAATGTACGTTACCTGATAAGAAAATAAACTTTTTCCCGCTTTTCGCGGGTCGTAGACACAATGTAACTACTTTTATATCTGTCGAATAATATAATGACAATAAAAAACGAGAAATTAAACCGTAAAAATGGATGGATGGATCCATAATGTTTGGCAAAACAATTGATATAATTCGATGAACATTATTATAACCGCCCGCTACGATAGTCTTGTATATTTTCGTAAATTCGCACCAAATCTCAAACGGTACACAGGAATTCACTAAAAGAGTAAAAAAAATTGATGGTTATATGAATTGTAATAAAACGCATAGCACGACTTTTAGTTTTCCACGTCCTAATTCAATTCATAGTTAACATTTTGCTCTGTAATCAACGCTGACATCACCACCAAGTAGAGATGAAAAACAGTATTTGAATTAAAATATTAAGCACTGTTTATTGAAATCAACGAAGCTATGTAAATTTTTATTAGGGATTTTTTGATGATACGCATTCGAAAATTTCTGATTTATAGCGTGATCAAATTAAAGGCTCTGTCGCTGTGTCATAAATGTTCAGTGGTTGTTGCCAAGGCAACGAGCGTGGGTCGCTAACATGTAGTCTACATTTCAGGGTAAAAATCTATACTCGTCGTCTGCTTATTAACAGTAGTCCTTTAAATTAGTGTAGGTACCTACCGAATGGCAGTTTAAGCATTCATTGGGATTCATGTAGGAATTCGTTGTTTATTATGATTTTCATTTTAGTTAGTCATCGTATATATTGTATTGTGTATGTATATAAGATTATAATAACGAAAAAACCCACAAATTGAGTTTAATATTTTTTTAAATATTTTAATAAGTTTTTGAACTAACATTTTAATGTTTTATTTAGTACTAGTAAATGCGTGTCCAATTTGTTTTTACCTACATATAGTATACATTATTTTTTAATGTTTCGCCAATGTACATAATTAAATGAATATGAATGTAATACGTTATGTTAGTAGGGCAGAAAAATGTAAAGAATAAAGATTAGCGATGTAAGTATTACTTTACATATGTACATACGTACGTACGGACGGCGTACCAACCGTGGTAGAGTCGGCGAGACGTTACAACGCGGCAGTATTCCGTGTGAGCTCGACGGAGGCCATTGAATTCTGAAACAGTACGCGCTTATATTTAACATATTGTTATGCTGCTATTCTATTAGAGAAAATAAAAAAACAGCATGAATAAAATCACGAATTGGAACGTATTAAACGTCTGTGATTCTTCGTTCGTTCAAAATATATCTGAAAAACCCTAATCTTAACGGATTCCTTGATGTATTCACAAATAGTTAACTGGAATTGGTGTTACATTTGCCGTGAAATGAACATTTAAATTCTATGTCCATAATCATGAATTGTGATGAGTTTTGAAACAGATTTGGGTACAAGGTATATGAAATGAGCGCGATGGACGCGTGCGATGGCCGATTCTTTAACGTTGCCGCCTCTGCCATTGCCACGAAGATTTCCGCTGTACCTTCATCCTTATTGGTTTAAAAGGTGTGATTTCTGCTTAGGTTTTATGCGCTTAGATTAAGCTATTGTTAAATAAGCAAACAAAAAAATAAAATTTATTAACCGAAGTAATTCTTTATCAGGCGTCACCGTTGCCCACACAACGATGTCCCGGAGCCATTGTTCGATGTGGAGCACACGACGAGCGTGGTCTCCGCGTACAAAACTGACTATGACGAAAAGCACGTTAGTCGCACCACTGCTGTTCATCATGAAGATCACTTGCGTCTTGAAGGTGATTTCCAAGAACCGGAGCGCCCAAAGTGGCAACCGGCTGAGAGGCAAAAACCAAAAAGGCCCGAAGACAATCTCAAACCAGAAGGCGAATTCGAAAGAAGAAAGCCCGAGGAGTGGCGTCCAGGCGATAGAGCTCCCGTACGACGTCCGGAAGATAATCTGAAACCGGAAGGTGAATTCAATACACCAGAAAAAGAATCATGGCGACCAGCAGAAAGACAGAAGCCGAAGAAACCTGAAGATAATCTAAAACCTGAAGGAGATTTTGAAAAAAGAAGACCTGACGAATGGCGCCCTGGGGATAGAGCTCCTGTACGCCGCCCTGATGATAATTTGAAAACCGAAGGAGAATTTTGGGAACCAGAAAAGGAACCATGGAGACCAGCCGAAAGACAGAAACCTAAGAAACCAGAAGATAATCTAAAACCTGAAGGTGATTTTACTACACCAGATAAAGAAAAGTGGAAACCGGCGGAAAGACAAAAGCCTAAAAAGCCAGAGGATAATTTGAGGCCAGAAGGTGAATTTGAAAAACGACAAACAGATGAATGGCGCCCAGGCGACAGAGCTCCAGTACGCAGACCAGAAGACAATCTTAAGCCTGAAGGAGACTTTGAAAAAAGAACCCCTGATGAATGGCGTCCAGCTGAAAGACCTACGCAGAAAAAACCTAAAGATAATCTTAAGCCTGAAGGTGACTTCCAACAACCAGAATCTGAAGAATGGAGACCCGCCGAGAGACAAACTCCTAAAAAGCCTCAGGATAATCTCAAGCCTGAAGGAGAATTCGAAACGCCTAAACCAGAAAAGTGGCGACCAGCAGAGCGTCCAACTCAAAAAAGACCACAGGATAATCTTAGACCAGAGGGAGAATTCGAACAACCCGAACAAGAGGAATGGAAGCCTGCTGAGCGTCCTAAGCCTAAAAGGNAATGGAGACCCGCCGAGAGACAAACTCCTAAAAAGCCTCAGGATAATCTCAAGCCTGAAGGAGAATTCGAAACGCCTAAACCAGAAAAGTGGCGACCAGCAGAGCGTCCAACTCAAAAAAGACCACAGGATAATCTTAGACCAGAGGGAGAATTCGAACAACCCGAACAAGAGGAATGGAAGCCTGCTGAGCGTCCTAAGCCTAAAAGGCCTCAAGACAACTTACGTCCAGAAGGTGACTTTGAAAAACGCCAACCAGATGAGTGGCGCCCAGCTGAAAGATCAGTTCAAAAGAAACCAAAAGATAATTTGAAACCAGAAGGCGATTTTGAGAAACGAGAGCCAGAAGAATGGCAACCTGGTGACAGAGCCCCCGTTCGTAAACCTGAAGACAATCTCAAACCAGAAGGTGATTTTACGACACCTGAAAAAGAAACATGGCGACCTGCTGAACGACCGAAGCAAAAAAGACCTGAAGACAATTTACACCCGGAAGGTGAATTTACAACCACTAGAGCTATCACTGAAGATTACAAGGTAGTCATTGGTGAAAGAGCAGAAATTGTTCGCCGCGTAGACAACATCATAACCGAGGGAGAATTCACTGGTAAGGAAATATTACTCATTTGAATGGTTTATGTTGAGCGCTGTATTATTGTAACATCAGAATTATATTGTGTTAAATATCCATTGATTTTAAACAAAAGATGAAATTTCACATAATTCAACTTATTGTAATAATCTGGACATATTTTTCAACTGTTTTGATTTAAACATTACTTACTTTACTTCGTGTATTTCAGATACCACAACTAGCCGTACCGAATACACTGCAAAACCAGTAGAGAGGCCAAAACCAGTCCGTCGTAATACGTTCACGAAAATTGAGGGTGATTTTACGACAGAAACCACATCGAAATCGGAATATGTCGATCATACTGATGTTGTCGAAAGAACAACGATTGTTTCTAAGAAAACTGATAATTTGATCCGAGAAGGTGAGATAGAATTTGTAACATCAAATCAGACAGATTTCACTGAAAAAAGCACTCCTATTGAACGACCACACAGGCGTCGTACCTGGACGAAAGAGGATTTCGAAAAATTCTACTCAACAGAAGATGTGCAGACAGTTTCAACTACACAAGAAGAATATAGGATCTACGAAGAAACCGATGTGCGGCAAACTTATAAGAAACCAATAGATAATTTGAAACCGGAAGGTGAGTTTGAAACTCCCAAACAAGACAAATGGCGCCCAGCAGAGCGACAAACCGCTAAAAAACCTGAAGATAACTTAAAACCGGAAGGTGAGTTTGAAACTCCAAAACATGAAGAGTGGCGACCAGCTGAGAGACCTAAACAGAAAAGACCACAAGATAATCTCAAGCCAGAAGGTGAATTTGAGAGAAGACAACCAGAAGAGTGGCACCCAGCTGAAAGGCCAACTCAGAAAAAGCCCAAAGATAATCTGAAACCTGAAGGTGAGTTCGAACAGCCGAAACCTGAAGAGTGGAGGCCTGCAGAAAGACAAACCCCTAAAAAGCCTCAAGATAATCTCAAGCCTGAAGGTGAATTTGAAACACCCAAACCAGAAAAATGGCGTCCTGCTGAACGTCCAACTCAAAAAAGACCACAGGATAATCTTAGACCAGAGGGAGAGTTTGAACAACCTGAACAAGAAGAGTGGAGGCCTGCTGATCGTCCTAAGGCTAAAAAACCTCAAGATAACCTTCATCCAGAAGGTGACTTCGAAAAACGCGAACCTGAAGATTGGCGTCCAGCTGAAAGACCAATTCAAAAGAAACCGAAGGACAACCTAAAGCCTGAGGGAGAATTCGAACAACCAAAACATGAAGAATGGAGGCCCGCAGAAAGGCAAACTCCTAAAAAGCCACAAGATAATCTAAAACCAGAAGGTGAGTTTGAAACACCCAAACCTGAAAAATGGCGACCAGCTGAACGACCAACCCAAAAGAGGCCCCAAGATAACCTTCGACCAGAGGGAGATTTCCAACAGCCTGAACAAGAGGAATGGAGACCAGCTGAGAGACCTATTGCAAGAAAGCCAAAAGATAACTTAAAACCAGAAGGTGACTTTGAACACCCAGAACCAGAAGAATGGCGCCCAGCCGAACGACAAACACCTAAAAAGCCCAAAGATAACTTGAAGCCCGAAGGAGAATTTGAAACACCTACACATGAAAAATGGCGACCAGCCGAACGTTCATTGCCGAAAAAACCAGAAGATAATTTACGTCCTGAAGGAGATTTTGAAATTAGACGACCTGATGAATGGCGGCCAGCAGAAAGACCGCAACAAAAAAGACCAAAAGATAATCTTAAACCTGAGGGCGAATTCCAACAGCCTGAACAAGAAGAATGGAGACCAGCTGATCGCCCTAAACCTAAAAAGCCTCAAGATAACCTTCATCCAGAGGGTGACTTCGAAAAACGCGAACCTGAAGATTGGCGTCCAGCTGAAAGACCAATTCAAAAGAAACCGCAGGATAACTTAAAGCCTGAAGGAGAATTTGAGCAACCAAAACATGAAGAATGGAGGCCTGCAGAAAGACAAACGCCTAAAAAGCCACAAGATAATCTAAAACCAGAAGGTGAATTCGAAACGCCCAAGCCAGAAAAATGGCGACCAGCTGAACGACCAACACAAAAGAGGCCCCAAGATAACCTCCGACCAGAAGGTGAATTCCAACAGCCTGAACAAGAGCAGTGGAGACCGGCTGAGAGACCTATTGCAAGAAAGCCAAAAGATAACCTAAAACCAGAAGGTGATTTTGAACACCCCGAACCAGAAGAATGGCGCCCAGCCGAACGACAAACACCTAAAAAGCCCAAAGATAACTTGAAGCCCGAAGGAGAATTTGAGCAACAGAAACCTGAAGAATGGAGGCCTGCTGAAAGACAAACACCTAAAAAGCCACAAGATAATCTCAAGCCTGAAGGGGAATTTGAAACGCCCAAACCAGAAAAATGGCGTCCGGCTGAAAGGCCTACACAAAAGAGGCCCCAAGATAATCTTCGATCTGAAGGAGAATTTCAACAACCCGAACAAGAGGAATGGAGGCCAGCCGATCGTCCTAAACCCAAAAAACCCCAAGATAATCTTCATCCAGAAGGTGACTTCGAAAGACGCCGTCCAGATGAGTGGCGTCCAGCTGAAAGACCAATTCAAAAGAAACCGAAAGACAACCTTAAGCCGGAAGGAGAATTTGAGCAACAGAAACCTGAAGAATGGAGGCCTGCTGAAAGACAAACACCTAAAAAGCCACAAGATAATCTGAAACCGGAGGGTGAGTTTGAGTCACCTAAACCAGAGAAATGGCGTCCAGCTGAACGACCTACCCAAAAGAGGCCACAGGATAATCTTCGACCCGAAGGCGAATTCGAACAACCTGAACAAGAGGAATGGAGACCTGCTGACCGTCCTAAGCCTAAAAAGCCACAAGACAATCTTCGTCCAGAAGGTGACTTTGAAAAACGACATCCAGATGAGTGGCGTCCAGCTGAAAGACCAACTCAAAAGAAACCGAAAGACAACCTGAAGCCGGAAGGTGAATTTGAGCAGCCGAAATCTGAAGAATGGAGGCCTGCTGAAAGACAAACACCTAAAAAGCCACAAGATAATCTGAAACCCGAGGGAGAGTTTGAGTCACCTAAACCAGAAAAATGGCGTCCAGCTGAACGACCTACCCAAAAGAAACCACAAGATAACCTTCATCCAGAAGGTGACTTCGAAAAACGTCATCCAGATGAGTGGCGTCCAGCTGAAAGACCAACTCAAAAGAAACCGAAAGACAATCTTAAGCCAGAAGGTGAATTTGAACAACCGAAACCTGAAGAATGGAGGCCTGCTGAAAGACAAACACCTAAAAAGCCACAAGATAATCTGAAACCCGAGGGAGAGTTTGAGTCACCTAAACCAGAAAAGTGGCGTCCAGCTGAACGACCTACCCAAAAGAGGCCACAAGATAATCTTCGACCCGAAGGTGAATTCGAACAACCTGAACAAGAGGAATGGAGACCTGCTGACCGTCCTAAGCCTAAAAGGCCGCAAGACAATCTTCGTCCAGAAGGTGACTTCGAAAAACCGAAACAAGAAGAATGGCGGCCTGCTGAAAGACCAACTCAAAAGAAACCGAAAGACAACTTAAAACCGGAGGGCGAGTTTGAGTCACCTAAACCAGAAAAGTGGCGTCCAGCTGAACGACCTACCCAAAAGAGGCCACAAGATAATCTTCGACCCGAAGGTGAATTCGAACAACCTGAACAAGAGGAATGGAGACCTGCTGACCGTCCTAAGCCTAAAAGGCCGCAAGACAACCTTCGTCCAGAAGGTGACTTCGAAAAACCGAAACATGAAGAATGGCGGCCTGCTGAAAGACCAACTCAAAAGAAACCGAAAGACAACCTTAAGCCGGAAGGTGAATTTGAGCAACCGAAACCTGAAGAATGGAGGCCTGCTGAAAGACAAACACCTAAAAAGCCACAAGATAATCTGAAACCGGAGGGCGAGTTTGAGTCACCCAAACCAGAAAAGTGGCGTCCAGCTGAACGACCTACCCAAAAGAGGCCACAGGATAATCTTCGACCTGAAGGTGAATTCGAACAACCTGAACAAGAGGAATGGAGACCTGCTGACCGTCCTAAGCCTAAAAAGCCACAAGACAATCTTCGTCCAGAAGGTGACTTCGAAAAACCGAAACACGAAGAATGGCGGCCTGCTGAAAAACCTGTTGTAAAGAAGCCTAAAGATAACTTGAAACCAGAAGGGGAATTTGAGAAAGCAAAGCAAGACGAATGGCGCCCTGCTGAGCGTCAAACCCCTAAAAAACCTGAAGATAATCTGAGGCCTGAGGGAAAATTCGAGACTCCTAAACACGATAAATGGACACCAGCAGAGAGGCAAACACCTAAGAAACCCCAGGATAATCTAAAACCAGAAGGTGATATGGAGGTTGTTAGACGAACCGATTACACGGCAACTCGAGGTGATCGTGTCGATATAGTGAGACACGAAGATCATTTGAAAATGGAAGGAACCTTTGATATTCATCGCTCTAGAGATGACTACAAACGCATAGAAAAAACCGAAAAGGTGGTAATACAAAGACATGAAGATAATTTGCGCACTGAAGGTGAGTTTATTGATCTTCAAACTCGCAATGATTATAGTGCAACTAAAGGCGAGAGAGCGCCTGTTGTAAAACCTCAAGATAACCTGAAACCTGATGGTAAATTTTATAAGCCGGAGGTGGTTCCATCACAACCGGCTGAAAAACGTAAGCCTTTCAGACAAGTCGATAACATTACAATTGAACGAGATGTTGACTTACTTCATAAACAAAAAATCGAGCGACTCGATATTATTAGAAGAGAAGATAATTTGAAAATAGAAGGAGAATTTGTAGACATGAAGCAAAGAAATGATTACAATGTTACAACTGGTGAAAGAACAGCTGTTGTTCGTCACGAAGATAATTTAAAAATGGAAGGAAAAACGGAACATGTTCGTACCTCTGATACATATCGTGTTGTAAAAGGACAAAGAGTGAAATTAACTCGCAGAGAAGACAACCTTAAAATTGAAGGAATATTTGAAGATCACACTAGAAGAGATGATTATAAAATCATTAAAGGCGAACGGTCAGCTATTGTGTACCCTACTGACAATTTAAGGCCTGAAGATGAACAGAAACCTAAAGATGGTCCAAGAGTAGATCAAGAACCCAAAACCACTAAGCCATCAGATAAAACAAAACCGACTGATAAAATTAGTGATTCTCGCCGCAAACCANAAGGAATATTTGAAGATCACACTAGAAGAGATGATTATAAAATCATTAAAGGCGAACGGTCAGCTATTGTGTACCCTACTGACAATTTAAGGCCTGAAGATGAACAGAAACCTAAAGATGGTCCAAGAGTAGATCAAGAACCCAAAACCACTAAGCCATCAGATAAAACAAAACCGACTGATAAAATTAGTGATTCTCGCCGCAAACCAGATGAGACAGATGGTACAAAAATATATGATAGTCCTCATAAACGTATTGATGATAAGCGTAAACCCACGACTGTACAAAAACCCGAAGAACAATTTTCAGAATCACTTCCCAGAGATAATAGAAAACCGGGTGAAACAGAAAAATCACAGAGACCTAAATGGAGTACACCTGAACGTCCCGATCAGATTAGACCAAAAGATAATCTGCACCCTGAGGGTGATTTTCAAGATAGACCTAAAACACAATGGCAGCCTGGTGAGATTCCAGAGCAAGTAAGACACAAAGATAATTTGAAACCTGAAGGTGATTTTGACCGTCCGTCGAAACCACAATGGCAGCCTGGAAATCGACCCAGTCCTGTGAAACCTAGAGATAGCCTTTACCCAGAAGGAGACATGAGATCACGCTCTCCGCCAAGATATACTCCTGGTGAAACTGCTACTCCGGTTAGGCCAAAGGACAATTTGAAACCCGAAGGAGATTTTGAACATTCATCTCGGCCAAAATGGCAACCAGGAGACCGACCGAGTCCCGTTAAACCAAAAGATAATCTTTACCCAGAAGGTGAAATGAGGTCGCGATCACCATCACAATATATTTCGAGTGAAACGTCGACACAGATAAAAACGAAACACAATTTGAAGACAGATGGCGACTTTGACAATTCATCTAAGCCAAAGTGGCAACCGGGCGATAGACCAAGCCCAGTTAAACCTAAAGATAATTTGTATCCAGAAGGAGATATAAGATCTCGTTCTCCGACACGATACACTCCAGGTGAAACACCGTCTCAGATTAGACCTAAAGATAACTTGAGACCTGAAGGCGATTTTGATCGTCCGGATACTCAGAAATGGGTGCCATCTGAAAAGTCTGGTCCCTTCAAGCCCAAAGACAATATAACCAGGAATGGAGAAATCATTAGAGAAGACAGTTACAAATCGAGTGAAGGGGTTAAAAAAATTGTAGGTTCAAAAATAATAACAACTCGGGATGACAATGTGAAATCACAGTTCAATAATCGTAAAACCACTGCTATCCATCAAGATAATAAAACGTTTAGCACGCAATCAGAAACTCACACAAAACAATCTCATACTGAACATTCTTCTATCAAACATGTTCACTCTGGGACCCATAAATATATCACTACGTCAGAGGATATAAACAATCGCACCACGTCAGAAGATATAAACGATCGCACAATTTCACAAAAACGACCCGAATCAACATCATCTTCGGATATCATTGAGAGAACTCGATCACCAAGCGTAAATGATCGTAACGTAGTTCGATCATCAACGGATAGAAAAATTATAAACAAAACAGACATCAAAAACGTTACTAATGTTAGTACGTCTGTCAAGAAAACAATCAAACAAATAACGGAAAAGAAACTTAGAGGCGGTAAGTGGGTTACTGTTACAAGGAATGTAGAAGTAGATCTTGTAGCTGATGGCGAAAAAGGAGGACCAAGGAACGTACGTCCAATTCAATCTCCCAAAGATCAGCCGCATGATCAACCTTCTAATTTTAAACAGAACGGTGGACAGACGATTTCAAAAATGGTCACGAGTGACCAGAAAACTACATCAACAAGTCAAGATAAATCACAGCGTTACGACTTAGACACTAATAGACAAGATGTCACTAGCATTCGACATGTCTCCAGCGGTCAGAAAATTAACCAAGATACGGATAGCAATATTCGTCATCTAACATCAGAACGCACCGTGACTTCTAGTGACCACGGAATTACATCACACCAGCATACGCAGCAACATAAAAATATTTCAGAAAGTCACACCCATCAAACTATAGGCTCCACTACTTTATCAAGTAAAACTGATCAAAATACCTCTCATTACACTCAACATTCTTCTTCGGACAGCCATGTGAATAGACAATTGCGAGGAGAGTCTACACAGAGAGTACTAAGTTCTGACCAATCATCGACGACAAACCAGCGTCACGTTTCAGAAAAACATTCTCAACATTCAACTATCGATAGCAATGTCAATAGGCAAGTGAGAGAAGGATCTTCACAGAGAATTGTATCTTCAGATCAAGTCGCTTCCACAAACCAACATCATACTTCTGAAAACAAAGCACAGCGGAACATAAATTCGACAACATATATTACATCAGGAAGCCGCGTAGAGCAGAACGTCACATCTGCGCAACATTTAAACAGTAGAAATCTTAGTGATAATGTTACTAAGACAAGCATTGAATTTCAAAGAGCAATGCACGGTGGTAATGATGCGAGCTATTCAACAACTGACAATTCTACTCGTAGTGGTCACCATAAGCGCACCTCCGATTTAATCACGGACTCTACTTCGACAAATTCAATTCTGCATCGCAAAGGTGTTTCTTCGGCCACTGAAGCTCATCACACCACCAGTACAGCGGCAGCTGCTCAAAGAAAGAGTATCGGCAATCTATCCGAACGTGGAGAATATATAAGCAATTCAACTCAGAGCACTGACAGAAAAAGCATCAGTTCCATGCATCGTTCCACACGGGACAACATAGGCGTGATTTCGCAACACTCGGAAAGTGACTCCCATCGCCATCAGATTAAAAGAGACGGCCAGTCAACTATGACAGTTGATCGTCAACCTAAGGCGGTTGTTCGAGACAATCTTCGCATCGGCGGAGAGTTTTATGGTCAGTCAGAAGCGCGTTACGGTAGCTTCTCTCGATCTGAACAAACACAAAGAACCGATAGGTCAGAACGCGTCGAGCGAGTGGAAAGAGTCGCTCGTCATGGCCATAACACATCGCATTTTGTACTGGGTGACGGTAACACAAGTTATAAGAGAGAATACACAGCACATGTGCACGGTGTGTGTCCAGCTACCCTGATCGAGTCTCCACGCACGCCATACAAGCATACACGAGACTCTCGAGAACATAAGTTCTACGCACAAAGAACGACTAAGACTCCACAGTGAAGTAACGAAAACTAACAGAGCATATTATTATCCCCATTCCTTTTTTGTTTTAAGATATCTAATCTAAGTTTCAAGCAATGTATTTGTCATACATTTTATAATTCAAAATAAGCTATCCACACTTTTTTTATTTTGTTAGTCGCTAATATGTTTAACGTGCCTTATGATCAATTACTTGCCTACCATATTAATGTTACGCGCACGGTGTATGAGAATAATATTATGATTAACATTTTTATATAGGTACTATAATTATTACCTACCTATGTATTTTTATTTTGTCAAACATTGCCATGTAATAAATATTTATAATAAATATAGTGTTTTATTTATATAAAAAATGTGAAATCATTTGCATTACTCCTATAATTAAACAAAAAAAAACATACTATCCTAATAAAGAACCTACTCTTGTTTTTATTTGATATACTTAATACATTTCTTTACCTGGTACAATTATTTCATTTTAACACAAATAAAGTCTAATTCCAAGACAAGGCCCAGACATTTTGATATTAATGTCCACCAGAGACGTGTCAGTATCCAATTATATTGGAAGATCTACCTATTCTTTTCGATATCGTGGTGGCTTAAAGCTTAAAGGAGACATCCGCTGTACTCAATCAATCAAAGCTTTCTAGTTGAAACGGTGCTTCAACCGTTATTCAAAACACTGACGTCCAGGGTGCATATCGGCATTTGCATTGTCATGACTATGGACGCCGATAACCACTCAACTCCAGGCCCTGAGATCATTCGCCAATCAATCATAAAAAAAACCTGTAGTGAAATTCCCGACATTGTAGTTCATGAGCCACGATGAATTCAGTTCACGTGGGCCGTTAGTAAACCATCGAAAATAATTAAAGGATTTTAATATTAAAGAATTAGTAGTGTTGTTGTTCAAAATTAATACGTAATTAAAAATATTGATCCAACCGCCTAAAGTATCTCTAATCGAACCATGGCATCTGCCTAAATGGCACACACACAGTTTAGGTACGCAATCAATTTTTTTTTCAGAAATTACATAGCTTTATTTGTATCATCTTATATAAAAATCTAAATTGTACCTCGAAATATAATGTTTAAAATACCTAATGTAAAAATATTTCTATTATCGAAAATCAACGTTAAATTAAATATTGCAAATCGTATCTTCATTTTTATGAGATTCTTTAACACGCCGAATCCTTTTATATCTTCCTAAGTCGCCTACTGAGTTATGAGGCAGAGGACCAAATGCATCGTCTTCGTGATAACCAGGTGAATTTATGTATTTTTCTGAAGAAGGTTCAACTCTATCGTCACTGATTGATGATTTATCCAAGTATTTATTGCTTTGATTCAAAAGCTGACGCTTATTGCGAGAGTCGCCACTAAGCATGAGCTTATCATCAATATTTTCCATGCCTGATAAAATTGTATCTGTGTCTGAACCAACGCTCTCAGTCTCCTTTTGCGCATTGTAAATACTGATGTTACTTGGATCGTAAGATTTGGCTTTTTCATTACAATTTTTTGTGTTCTTTAAATCTGAGTATTCTAGACCTACATTGTTTCTTGACGATTCAGATAAGTTATCGAAGAAGCTCTCGTCATCAAACTCATTTCCTTCGTCGTTATCTTCGTCCTGGTTTTCAGCTTTATATGAAAAATATCCCATCTTGCCTTCAGGTAAGATTCCGGCTCCCCTTTTCTTAACAATTTGATTAGAATCTGTTCTTTTGACTCGAATACGTGGTTCAGAATATAGTAATGGGTTTTCGTCAATATTTGTATTCGGAAAAGAGTCTTCTAGAGATTGTAAAGATTGTGAAATTTCATCATCAGCTTCAATTTCTCGTTTAAAAGGTTTCATGTTTTGAGAATCGTTTTCAAATTCACCCAATGGCTCCGAATGTTCACTAATTTCAGAGTTCTTCACTAGCTTATTTCCGTTAGTATCGCTGTCATCTAGAATGGGATGAATTTCAGTTTTTAAACTTATTTCCGTAGCACTGTGCAAATTATTTTCACTATTAGGCTTTGTAGAATCTGCTAATGGTTGTTGATCATTGATTTCCGATCCAGCGTTTGATTCGAAATATTTTAAGTCGACAGTATTTTTTGCAGTCGCGACATCTTGTGCACTTGGATATTCAGCACTTTCACCCAGATTATTGCTCACACCCAGATCTTTATTGGATTCAGTTTCTCCACTGGATACATTGCTATCGTCTTCAGCGGTTATTTTAGTTATTTCCCTTTTAATAACACCATCAGCCGTGCTATTATCATCGATGAGTCTTTGTAGCAGTTCTTTCTTGTCTTCTGTCAAGGAGCTTAGAAGTTCTTTGAAGTCTCTTTCGGATAATTTCTTGACGTGTTCTTTTATGACTGTTTGTTCGTTTCCTTTGCAATTGTCATTGGAATTGGCACTTCCTTTGGTTGCGTCTGAAATATTTTCTTCCTTTAAGCTTCGTGTATCTCTATTATATTCTAATATTTCAAAACCACGGTTTTCGTTGGTAATTTTGTCCTTGTTTAGACGATTATCTTCATAATAGGGTTTTAAGTAACGATCTTGACTAAAAGCGTCGTTTGATTTTTTAGAAAAGTAATTTTCTGAGTCGTCTTGTTGTTTGACGTAGGTTTTTCGTGCATTACTTTTTTCATTTGAAGATAAAAGGAACTTATCATTGTTTGAGTCATAGTGTTCATTACCACGATATTCAACATTTTGATTATTAACAGTAAAAGGTTCACGGCCATTCGATATGTGTTCACGACTTTCATCGGACTCCATTTTGTTGAACACATCCTAGAATTTAAAAGAAATAATAGTAGTTAAACAAATATTACCCTTTTGTGAATAATAGTAATAGATCATAACTGTAAAAAATCTACATGTATATTTATATATTTTTATTTTTTAAGATAGATTTCCGCCTAGATTCTGCTCCAATTTAATCTACGATTCTGTGAATATTACATGAAAATCTGTTTCCCGATATATGCGCGAACAAATAAACACACCGCCAAAAAGGAAAAAATTCTAAATATCGCCATTTTATTTATTGATTACTATTATCATGTATTGTTATTGACTTTCATCAATGAACAGACACACCAGACTCTACTGTTTTGATTAAGATGAAATTTACCTTGAATTACAATCTACAATAAATAAGCCGAACGAATCAGCCACACTCTCCAGAGATTTTACAAGCTTAAGTAAATTTAATTTTTATTATTATTAGCGATGAAGGCAAGACAAACATCGCGATCCACTTGATGGTAAGAGCCGGGAGATATGAGATGCAAGATTGAATCTGTTTTTTTCTATCTGGTTATTATTCTAAATGTGTCAATAAAACCACGGCCTACTTGACTCTAAATCTCTCCTTCTCTAAACTGTAAACTAAAGTTTGCTTCGCGGTATATACCTAAATAGGGAGAATAGTCTACGACATGACAACATTTTACTACTGAAATTCGTGCTACGACACATTTTACCGGGACTATTATGTAAAGATTTTATGATAAAATCATTGACAAAAAAGTAAGCGATAATATCAGCATTGTACGTTATCAGATTCAGTGTGTGCTGAACGACGGTTTTCCATACAGCGCTCTTCGGACCGAAGTGGTTGATCCAGTTTATCTTGATCACTTTGTTCCTGAAATATAAACATATAAGCTACGTTGCAGGCCAATAGCTTAATTAATACAGCTTAAAGTGCCTAATAATCAACATTAACTTCTATTAAGTAGATCTAAATAAGCTTTAATAATAGGTAGATCTAAATAAGGATTAGCAAGCTGAAGTCGCAGTGGGCAGGCCACATAGCGCGAAGATCGGACGGCCGACGGGGCAGAAAGATCCTCGAGTGGAGACCACGTACTGGCAAACGCAGTGTGGGACGGCCACCTACCAGAGGGACCGACGACCTGGTGAAAATTGCTGGGTCACGTTGGATGCAGGTAGCAACGGACCGGCCGCACTGGACATCAGTTGGAGAGGCCTATGTTCAGCAGTGGACAGTAGACAGGCTGAGATGATGATGATGATGATGATGAAATAAGCTTCAAAAAAGTATATTTTTTAGTATGAAAGTAATAACAAAATTGATGTTTTGCGAAGTCTTGATCTAGTGTTTTTTTTTAGCTATTTTTGCCTTCGAATGTCACCTTATGTTGAATGGTCATAGTGGCTCGCGGACATTGGCAATGCAAGGGACACAGCCGATGCTAAAGTTGGGATAACCGTGATAGTAATTAAAATGTCTCATGTCTTATGATGAGTGACGACATTCGCGTCGTGATATCCATAGGCTCCAGTAACTATTTAATATCGGATAGACCGTCCTTTCCTTATCTGATGCAGTAAATAATGCACAAATGTCACATCACACAAAAATATAAAACCTGGTCTTCTAAGGATGTATCGTCATCGTCAGAATTTGCCTCGTCAACAGCGTCGTTGCTGTACTCGGATTCTTCAAGATCACTAGAATATAATTAGTAGTTACATATATAAAATACCGTACATATAGGTTTTTATTCTATAATTCTCACTGCCTAATTATTAACTGGTGTATATGATAAACCTTTAATGATAAAACATAACTATGTATTTTTATCTGTTAAAGCAGAAAAGCATACGATCCAGTAGGTGAGTGGTCACCGATGCTGAAGGGCGCAATGCAAGAAACACACTTGAGTCACTACTGAGTTTTTAGAACTCTTCTCGAGCCTTGTTTAGACTTAAATAGGCTTATGCAAATATTATTTTAAATTAAAAGGGGGGGGGGGGGCAGACTCGTAAATAGATTTTCAGTTCCCCATAAAACCATATATTTTAAATTTACAAACCTGTTTTCGTCAATTGTCATAGGTTTAAATTGGAAACCTTTAAACAGACTACAAATAAAAATGAGCAATATTAAATAGTTCATTACTTGCATTTTCTGAAAATACGTGGCTTTGAAAAAATTAATTCCTATTGGATCTGTGCATTGACAAAATTTTGACATTTATGACATGACAAGTATTTGTTTTTAAAATTGAAATTAAAACTTTTTTTCATTTTGACATAAAACTGAAAGAGTTCAAATATTCATACAATCGATTTAATAAGCTACCGGGAACTACACGCTCCAACTTTGTAACTTTTACTTAACTTTTTGTAACTTTTTATGAATAAATATATTACATACATACATACATAGATACAAAATTTTGTCAAAATCGTTTGTGTTTTGGGCGTGAAACGTCACAAGCAGTACAAAGACTGGTTATGACATTTTTGATTCTACCACTAGAGTACTTCATTTGAGTCAAATATAGAGACATATTTTATTTTATAGCCCTTACAGCATCCTGAAGGCATAAGCAGACCGTTATGACTGTCGGTACTTGAACCATTGTATCATGGTTCACTTGCGGACTAACAAAAATAATGATAACCTCGTAAATAAATGTAATGTAGAATTTCTATGTAGGTAATACTTAGTAATAATATCTTAGTTGAGAGGGCCTACATACTTGTTTGTTATTATTCTTTATTTTATTTTCATTGATGGATTATTATTATTTTTGATGAAACTAAAAAACTTGGACGTATGATAAGCCAGAATGGAAAAAGAGGACATGCTGCGCAGACTTACTGGTAGGTAGGTACCACCGCCCTATTTCTGCCGTGAAGCAGTAATGCGTTTCGGCTTGAAGGGGGGGGGTAGCCGTTTTTTTTTTTTATTAAGCACTGATAAGAGCAAGAAGAGTGAAAGAAAGAATGATGATTTGATGATACTTAAACGCGTTTTTTTTCACGAAGCATTGGTCAGTCATTGACCATCATCCTTCCGAAGCGATGGTATAAGCCGCGCCAATAAAGAAACGAATCGAAAATGGCGTCTATGTACCTGCACTGACAGATGGTAGGGTCAACAAATAAAAAGAAAGATTGAAAGAAAAAGTTGTTTAATGTAAAAAAAATATAAAAAATCAAATGAGAATGTACTTTGCTTAACTTTATGCCCTGGCAGAGGGGGGGTGTCTCATCTGGGATGCAACTTGCGTAGACACTTATGCTGCCAGTCATCTAAGTCGCACAACTCGAAAGTGAAAAAACTCGAACTCAACAACAGTCAGAAATGATATTTTTTTGCATGCAGTACGCGCCGTGTGCGACTAGACAGCAATAGTTTAGAGTGAGAGCGCATGATCGCCGCCGCCATTTTAGATTCGTTTCTTTATTGGCGTGGCTTTACTTTAGACATTAGACGGCTTCAAACGAACCCTTAGATGTTCGTCGCGGGTTAAACAAAAGTCAATAATGTACTTACAACAACTTTATTTTTAAATGAGACCGTTTCATCTCTATCACACTTATGTACATTTGGTTTCAATAAAACAAACCTTTAATTTTATCGAATAAATTTCTCATTAAGTTTGTGCATATTTGAGAAAGAAATTAAGAGTAGATGATAAAATCTTTAAAATCTTGTAAAAATATTTATGATACATAATTTATTTATTTAATACATATTATATCCATCACACTGTTTTGGTGTTTCGATGTTTCCAAGGTCAAAATCATATTCATGCATAACTTCACGTGTTGTACTATTTTCAGTTATTTAATGGTGAATTCTTTTTTTTCAAGAAAAAAATTGAGATACACAATTTACACAAGCGATCCTTTCGTCCGTTAGAAAAGGTTGATTTGGTGGATTTAAAAAAGATAAACATTCTTTTGCGTCATCAGTATTTTATCTATACTATTAATTTGATACATTAGAAAATTTATCTTGGGAGGTTTTAATTTACAAGACATTATTAATAATGAAATTCTCTTTAATTCTTTTCGATTCCGTCAAACACCAATATTATATTGCACCTGATTTGGATTCAAATCTAACCCGATAGCTTTTATTATTATACGCTCGATTTATGTATAGAATGTATGATTAAATATCTGTTTACATTAATTTCTTTAGTTTTTAAATTTTTTTTAGATTTGTATTTAAAATTTCAATAAATACATATACTTAAGTTTATAGAATTTTTGAATATAATTTTGATTTATTGGATCCACAATCACTCTAAATTTATTCATATGACATGATTGTAAAACACTTACAGATAAACGGGGAAATATAATTTAATATAAAAAATATTTAACCGTCATTCTATACAAAACCATTCCGTAATCTATTTAACACATTCATAGCAATAATCTTATAGATAAAAAAGAAACTTTTTTTTTTATTTTCCAAATACGTAAAGAATGAAAACATTTCTCAACGAACTGATTTAGGCTTCATTATGAAATTATCTTGTGCTTTACATTTCATCATTTATCACATTTATCGTACAATAACTATTTATTATATAAAACAGTACGTCATCTGTCACACAGTACATACTTGAAGAGGAAATCTTTTATAAATTTTCGAAACCATAACACGAAAATGTGTACATATCTAGTAAACTGTACATAACGCAAATATAATGTATAATGCAAATGTCAATAACATGATAATATATATGTAAAGTTATAACCACAAAACAGTAGTAGGGTTCAGTCTAAAAGAAAATGTAGAAATAATTTTTGATTTCGTCGACTTACGGTATTCTTTTTAATGTCAAATATGATTGTTTGTGGAAAAAAATCAAATTAACTTATCATATGGCACGTAAATTTTTGCATGAAAAAGAAAAAAAAGTAATTTTGTTAAAACCACTTTAACATTTTTAGACTGACGCCCAATTATTTTACAACACAATACAAATTGTATTATATAGCACTCATTCACGTGGAATGCGATATGATCCGTATGTAAACACACCAGAGGTTCGATCATTGTATAGATATTTCTGTCTGAAATTCATAACTTGATGACTAGACTCTTTAAACGCAATATAATGAGCATTTACATAATTAAACAAGAAAACGATAATCCGTGTCTACTTTGTGTGTCAGTGCACTCCCAACATAATATATCCTTTTTTTTAAAACTTAACGTCACTAAATTTAATGTCTGAAGACATTTGAAAACGAACGATACGAATGTATCGATATGATACTAAAAACTAAATTATACCGACTTATAACTACTTAAATGTTTAACTTCAGATTTTCAATGTTCCACTGATAAGGAAATGCATAAAAAAATTGTTGATTCACAAAAAAAAAAAATATGTTGGTTATGCGTTTGCAGAGGGGCAACCCTATTTTATTATTTGGACCAACCCTGTAATTGTTTAATATTCCGAAAAACGAATATACCATTCAATATGATCATTAATTAAATTTTAATCGATTATTTTAAAAGTCATAACAGATACAAAAAAATTGAAAACGCAAAAAGAAATCTAATGAAAAATTCTGTACAAATTACCAATCACATATTATGTCAACCAACCACACATACGCACATACATATAGATATGTTTGCGACAAAAGCTTATTCGAAATTTTATTAACAACTTTTTATTTATTTATTTACAATGATCAAAGACGATTATCCTTAAAAATATATGCTTTTATAGATAATAGGAATTAGGGCGCAACGTAAACATACTAGATAGCGTGTTGACGAAAGCTAGATATCGAACGCTTGCAAACAACGGGCAGTTGTAAGTCTTCTCACTCAATGTTTATGACTTTTGAGCATTAGTTGGACCGTTGTTCTATTTGTACAATGACGTCATTTGTGGTGCGCTGCCGAATACGATGACCGAGAGCGGCGTCGAAATATTCGTCGAATGCAACATTAGCGTTTTAAATGCAAACCAGTGATTGAACACTTTCGATTTTTTTTTATTTACACAATAACAACCAACTCGGCTTCTATAGAACAGTAAAACAAACAAAAATGTCTCATTTCGTTAATCGAATTAAAAATTCTAATGATATTCGAGTAAATATTCACAAATGCTAGATTTAAAAAAAAAATACAATCACTTAANCGTCGAATGCAACATTAGCGTTTTAAATGCAAACCAGTGATTGAACACTTTCGATTTTTTTTTATTTACACAATAACAACCAACTCGGCTTCTATAGAACAGTAAAACAAACAAAAATGTCTCATTTCGTTAATCGAATTAAAAATTCTAATGATATTCGAGTAAATATTCACAAATGCTAGATTTAAAAAAAAAATACAATCACTTAATGCTGTACAAGATACGTCGATGAATCCATTGCCATATTAAAAAATCTAATTCTTAAAAACTACCCCCACGGATTAGAAACATGAGTAAAACATTAGAATCCACAATGAACACATGCACTCTCAAATGTCCGGAGCGGAGGCGAGTGCACACAGTCATACATACGCACGTACACGTACACACGCACACACACACGGACGCGGCCACACCTCGGAATGTGTCGACGAGTCGCGCCTCGCGTCCTCACTAACCACTAGACACGACCGCTACCTACACCCGGTCCTACGTTCACTAACTCAGACTTGATAGAAATTGTCATGAAGTATAGGGAGTCTCGCGTCGCCACGAGAGCGAAGGCTCCCTCGCCACCTCTCCTCGGCCATACGCTGCTACATTCATACGACACTGACGGTAAAACTTTACATGTTTATAAAAAAAAAGATTTTAATTTTTGGTGCAGTATGGCATTAACCCTTTGCACTCCATTGCAGTCGATGACGTCATATTTGAATACATTCAATCAACCGTCTGTTTAATATCTGTGAATATGCACAAATGTGAGAAATGAAACAAAGCCGCCGGATGTAGCTTCTTGGGATCTTCCAAAAAGTCCACTGAAAAAGTCTCAGTATATAACCACCATTTTACTGAGATTATTTTTCATCCCATATCATCTCATCTCAATTCACTCTATATTACCATTTTTTCATAAAAAAATAATATAAACGATTAGGCTGTATGGTGTGATACCTTTGCCTTTCCTGTTGGAATAATAGAATTACTACTAAATCAGCTGTGGTTGACACTAATGGTTTTTTTAATTATCGTTACAGATACAGATTTGTGTTTCGTGTACTGTACGTGTAGTCTCGTAACTAAAGCATTACTGTATCTGTTGTAGTTCTATATGTCAGATTAGGGTGGAGTACAAAGAGTTAATTTTTAGTATTACAAAATCAAAATGGACGTAGTTCTCGCATCGCCGAGAACGGTTTCGAGTAAAAACACAAAGAAGGAATGCGTATAATCATAATGATGCCACGAGAGCCAGCGTGGTCTAACTACTTTCTTTTTTAAAACCAATTATTTTAGAAATATCTCGCAAATGGTTAGAAGAATAGTGTCTTTAGATTAATCTCAAAATACAAAGCGAAATTCTTTTCTATCTTGATATTGTTAAACTATTTAGCTGTACAAAGTCTGACAAAAAAGAGCCTAGAACCAGAAAATAGGATATCCATGTTTATTGCTGAAATCACTCTTCAGCGGTTCGTTTGCGAATTTCCAATTGACACTTTAGATTTGATGCTCATAATTGTTTAAGCATTTTTACTGATAACTAGCTGACCCGGCAGACTTCGTAGTGCCACAATCGATAAATAAAAGACCTAAACTTTTGTATAAAACAAACAAAATTGTTATTTTTTATTTAATTCCGAGCATTTTCATATTTATCTACCTTTTAAACCTTCTCTGGACTTCCACAAATAATTCAAGACCCAAATTAGCCAAATCGGTCCAGCCGTTCTCGAGTTTTAGCGGGACTAACGAACAGCATTTCACTTTCTATATTAATATTATAAAGATTTGTTTGTTTGTTTGTATTGAATAGGCTCCGAAACTACTGAACCGACTTGAAAAATTCTTGCACTGTTTGGCAGCTAGACTATTCCCGAGTGACATAGTCTAAAATCTTTTTTGAAAAAAATTTGGGTTCCTTACTAAAACTCCAATAATGTAACCTAAGGTGTAAAAAAATTACCTAAAATATTCTTTACATCGCGTGAACTGCGAAAACGATTGATGATAGAATAAAATAATGTACTGCGACTTTGTAGAACACATTATTATCTACAAAAAGTATCGCGACAGCATATGTCTAACTATTATAGTTATGCCACAATAAGTCTTCTTTTATTTAAAAAAAAAAACAAAACAACGTCAAATATCGTTGAAATTTTTGTTAAAGACCCGAGCGGAGTCGGAGGGGTCCGCTAGTCTATTTATATAAAAATGAATTGCTGTTCGTTAGTCTCGCTAAAACCCGACAACGGCTGGACCAATTTGGCTAATTTTGGTCTTGAATTATTTGTGGAAGTCCAGAGAAGGTTTAAAAGGTAGATAAATATGAAAATGCCCGGAATTAAATAAAAATAACAATTTTGTTTTCCCTTTGATGTGTCCTCCGTCGGACGGATTCCTTTTGTTTGTTTTAAGTTTATTTTATACAAAAGTTTAGGTGTTTTATTTCTCGATTGAGGCACTACAAAATCTGCTGGGTCAGCTAGTTATTTATATAGATGCAGTGAGGCTCTGTAGGGGTGAGTGTACCGTCGGCATGACGACGGCGGACGTTCAGAGGGCGAGTGAGGCGCGGGCACGACGGGCGCGGTACTACAAGCGGTCGAGCCGGAACTCGTGCTCGACGGACGAGTCCGGCAACAGCGCGCTCGGCTCCTCCAGCAGGTTGAGGTCGTCCAGGTCGAGGCCGGCCCGCAGCTGAGCCTCCTCCCCGCCGAAAATGCCCGCGTCCAGTTCGCCCGAATAATCTGTTTAATTTAATATAATAATACATAAATCTACAGTGGTTTTTACGGATGTTCCATTTATTACATCCATTAAGTACATGTATGTTCTACATGGATACCAAGTTTCAAATCAATCGGATGCATGGTTCAGTAGTTATAACGGAACATCCGTAAAAACTACTGTTGATTTATAAATTAGTACAGACATTGAAAATATTCAGGTAATTCTTAACGCGCGATCCGACTACAAATCAGAAGGTTGTTATGCTACTCTAGTCTTATAGGTGGTTATTGTTTCTCCATCTTAGTACAAGTATCCTCCCATGCTTTTTTAATTTTTATTTATTTATTTATCACGTAGTTGGGTGGGCTAGCTCACAGCCCACCTGGTATTAAGTGGTTACTGGAGCCCATAGACATCTACAACGTAAATGCCGCCACCCACCTCGAGACATAAGTTCTAAGGTCTCCGGTTTTCCTGTACAACGGCTGCCCCACCCTTTAAACTGTGGCAATGCACTCACAATCGTTACAGAACACGTAATAGGTACATATTTTTATTTAGTAAAAATGATACCCCAGGATCCGAGTCATCAGGTCGTAGTAGGACTCGTCAGGAGTACATCGTGCGTCGGACGTACCGGTGAGTATGATGTCGGGTATGCTGGCGGGCGTGGCGGGTGTGGGGGGCGCGGAGGGGGACGCGAGGGGCTGCAGCGCCGGGAATCCCCCCGCTACCGGGTCGCGAGCCCCGCGCCGGCAATCGTTGCTCTGCGATGACTGCAAACAATAAACAATTATTAATACCGACTTTTTGTCTTTTACACGTAGACAAGGCCTTTTTCGAAAAAAAAGCTGTTAAGAGGAGAGATAAGCCGAATGCCGATATGTTATCATCAAAATTATTTTATTTATAATTATCGCACAAATCCTGCAGCCGGATCTTAGACTATTAATTTATAGTTTTCTTACCTCTATTGTTATGATTTTCTGTTTAGTTAAATAAGTTAAAATCTTACAGCATTAAAGCCTTATTTATTTATTATGTTGTCTTTTATATAGAAAAAAAAAATCTCTATAAAAGACAACATAATAATTAAAAGAATTGATGTTAGACAGATAATGCACTGTAGTGAGTTATAGCGTAAATTTCAAAGTGCGTGACACGAATTCCACTATTAATTTTTTTTTTGCGATTTTTATATTTTCCAGGAAGCAGGTACGACTAAAGTTATAACCCACTGAGTTTTACGCCGAATCTGCTCAGTGGGACGCGATTTCGATGCGGTAGTAGATTCAGCGAAGCACTGCTCTTGCTAGAGCTAGTGTTAGCAATTCTATCAGGTTGAGTTTCGTCAGCTCACTTACCAGTCCACGCGTAGTTGGAATAGCCCCTTAGGCTAACCAACGGGGGTTGGGGGGGAAAGGGGTAAAAGGGGGGAGATTAATAGAAATGTTTTTTCGTTACCTGAGTGTACGTATGTTGCGTGTTCGTCGTCTGCGGTGAATGCGGCGAACTGTGATTTAGGTACGTCGTGTTGTAATTCGTCACTGGTTGATCCAACTGAAGTAGAAATATAAAATCAATATAATACAAAAAAAAAAAAAAACGATGACGTTAATTCTAAAATGAACAAAGCAATGAAACGACAACATTTAGCAAAACCTGTAAAATAAAAATCCATTTCACCACTAAATCTACTGCGTATTGTTGTAGATCGAAAAAAAAAAAGAAACATGATATAATAAGAAATAATTCGGCCGCAAAGAAGCTTATTATTGTAAGAAAGTTTTGTTGCAAACTACACGTTGTATTTTTAAACAAAACGAAAATGTGACAGAGAGTGCAATGTTGAAAACGACTTAAAATAAATTTATTGTATACTTTAAAAACCCCATGCGGTATTCTAGTGTTTCAACCATTTACTTCCATGCATCGATTTCATACATTAAATATTTTCAAACAACCTACGATTGGAGAGAAGAAAAAAAAAGAAATCAACTTTCCTAAATTACGTTCTACTAACTATCGTCTCATCTGCATAAGAATACTCAATGGAATTTTGTTTAATGAATGTATTACAGGAAAAATTCACCAATAAAATTGACAAGTCACGAGCATGCCTTACATGTATTAACAATATGCAATAAGCGTTTAATTACTTGTAAAATGTGTGGGAACCATAAATTTGGCAATAAAACAGAAATTATAGAAATTAAAACCGGCCTGATGCTGGGACGATTCATGTGACAGTTTTCTTTTTTTCTATCAATTCATTAAAAAACAAAAACATTCATTACTTTTAATAAATCCTTTTTATTATACTGACCACTAAAAAAAAAACTCAATATGTCAATACTGTCAAAGGAATCCCCGAACTAAATATAACAAAGATATAATATAAAAACTACGTCGCTTGTATGTGTTACAAGAGTGGGTCGTACATTTTCCGCTACTTGAACGTGCGCGGTCCAGCCTGACTCGACGAGGCTCTGCACCAACTGCGCCCAGTCCTTGGCCAACATCCATCAACGTTACTCTTATTTTTTTATAATAATTATAGGCATTGTTGTGAGTAGGGTTGCCAGATTGTTTTCAGCCTATAAGGGGCAAATGCTTAAATAGGCAAAAAAACACGGGAATTAAGTTTTTTAGCCGGGATAAATAAAAATATTTTTTTGATATTTCTCCGAGAAGCAGGTCAGTTTTAACATATTTATAAGAATCAATACAATTGTAATCGTACGGTTCGAATACGGGACAGAGTCAGTCCCGCCGGGACATTTTAAACTAAGCCTAAAATACGGGACGTCCCGGGAAATACGGAGCGTCTGGCAACCCTAGTGGTGAGACAAGCAACGGGACGGTAATGTAGTCTGACGGACAGACAGGCTGTGGGATTTATGCATTAATCCTCCTATTGGAACATTCGAGAAATAACGTACATGTCACCGTGGCACCAGACTATTTATTGTTTAAAAGCGCATAGATCCGGTGCAATGAAGCGAGTTTCTCTTCGAACATTGTACTGAAGCTATGCGAATTCGTGTATATACTCGTATATTTCCATTTACATGCCAACTTAATCTTTACTCGTCATCAATAATGGTAACAGGCTCCCGGTTTAAAACTTCTAAATTTTGCACAAAAAATCCAAAATAATGGTCTGTTGTTAGCTACGTTTGCATATTCCATTGTCCATTAATTAATTGATTGATTGAATGGTGCGTTCGTTGCTTTGTATTAGGTAGCCCAATTGAAACTCGATATGATTGAAAAATATAATTACTATTAATTGTCCAGTTTATATCAAGGTATTGTGGTTTGAAAATACGCACATAATTTATGTATTTATCGGTTATGTACGAACCTATTCTATCGATTTGTTATTTTTTTATCGATGACTTTTTTTTTTAAATTACTATCGTCGATCGCTGTTTTTAAGCTCATTTGACTTGAATTGCAAATCATCGTATGTGGTAGCGAGCCCGCGTTATCTAGATTTGTAATAGCACGCGTGATACCGCCGAGCCATTAGTGTGATCTAGATTTGTATATACGAATTCGATAATTTCTTTGAAATTAATACATCAAAATTTTTGTAATGTAATATTTAATGAAAATATAAATGACTTTTGTATCTTTCATTTTAAAATATCAACGATTGTAAGCTTACTTTGTTCAAATACTTATATTAAAAAAGCAAACTACTAGAATATTTTTAAATTAAAAACTTTAAAAAAAAATTTAGATTATTGAAAATGCTCTATGCATTTCCCAATTTATAAATTAGTCTTTTTATTTTCTGAAAGTTTTTTTGCAGTCCGTTTTTTTATCCGGATATGAAATTACAATCTCTCTTAGGTTTACATTCACATCACATTCACATTTAAATGTCATAGTACTTTTTTTTTAGGACAAATTGCAACTCCATAGCACATTTATCGGTGCCGGTTCAAATCGTTTTATCTTATCACACCTTTATTATGAAAACTTGATATTTTCGATTACTACTAGAGTAATCCGATATGATGTTTTTACCTTAACAAAAACATTGATTAAATCAGTAAAAGTTATGAAGCGTGAAATTTCAAAATTTCTAATTTATGCTGTTAGAATTTACTTACAACTCCTTGCTATTCCATTGAAGCACAAAATAATAGTTCCATTATAAAAAAATATAAACACAAATTAAAATAGAGGAACTACATAATTTGCAACTTTGCAAAAATAAAAAGTTATTATTTTTAGCCAACGACAAACGCTAGGAGCGTTTTTAGTCAAAACTCAAATCCAAAAATAGTTTTTGAGTAACAAAACGTATTAATACGTATATAACTAATAAACAATATAAAGTACAAAAAACAACTCATAGCTAATTGCAAAACAAATTGAACTGAAAGTAGTTGTAAGTTCACTTCGAAATGATCCTCAGACATTTCTGTTCATGATTTATGTATATATTGTATAGACAGATGATAATGTTTCTTGAGTGATTATTATAATTAACCTTACCATTGTAATTTGTTCGAAGGGTTGCAATAGCGTTTGGTGTAAACTGTAGTCACCCTGCGGAGATTCCACCGGACTACCTGGACTATGTGCCATCTACAAATTAATATAAAAAAATTAATACAAATCATATACTATTTATAAACTGTATTATTGTACTGTATAGATCGGTGTTTCCCAACGTGGGGCCCACGCCCTAAAAGGGAGCAATTTGATAATTAAGGGGACAATCACACTACATTAATATAGAAAATCTGTATTATATATTTTTTTAATTTGAATTTCAGTTTCTTGTTACATATTTTGAAATATTATTTACTGTGCTTTGACAAAAAATTCATAGTTATTTCTTCCTAAAACCTATCATTTATGTTTCTCAAGTGAACAAATCAATTTTTTAATGTTAAAAATTATGTATGGGAGGCATACACATTTTAGAAATGTTACAGTGGGGCATGGCACAAAAAAGGTTAGGAAGCACTGGTATAGACAGAATTGTTGTATAGCCCTTTTTCTCGATGGAACGATTGCCGGTGACTCAGAGATCATTCCAGTTTCACCAGGGCCGGAGGTATTTGCTGACAGCTGCTAGAGCGCCTCCGAACGAGACCTAACAACTCAAAGGCAGTTGCTTCGTGAATGCATTTAATATTGTATAACAATACAGGATAAATAATGCATCATTTTTACGAAACTCCACATAACCCACTGAGTTTCTCGCCGGATCTTGTTAGTGGGTCACAATTCCGATCCGGTGGTAGATTCAGCGAAGCATTGCTCTTGCTACGGCTAGTGTTAGCGAAGTTTCCAGGTTGAGACCGCCTACACGTCCAGTGAAGCTAGTATAAAACCCCGAGGATACTCGCAGAGGGTAGGAGGAAAAAAAAACGGGCGTTCAGTGAGCTAGTTCTTTTTTTTTCAAGATTCTATTGTCTCCTTTGTCAATGCAATTAAAAAAACTTACCGTAGGCGAAGGTATGTTTATATTTGACGTAGATGAATATTGCGAGGGCGGACTACAGTGCGACTGGTACCCGGACGTTATCCATCCGTGGTCTAAAGGTGACATGTTCTGTAATCAGTCAAAATCATCGAATGACGTAGTTATAATTTGTGACCCAGCTTCAATGTTATGAAATCGCAATGTCTTACTGTGGATAAAATTTCCATCACGCATGAATTTTATGTTTTGCAAAACATGTTATTCATTAAATGAAAATGATATATTTACCCACGTTACAAAAGAGGTGTGATAATTTAATATAATAAAATACATACTCTACGCTTACATATTTAAATAACGTCTTAATTTATCTTTGAAATAAAATCATGCAGTTAAAATACAAAGCTGGTTAGTTTTTGATTTAAATAAAAAGATATAAGTATTATGATATGTACTATCGACATAATATTTTATGTTCTTTTTTAATAAATTATTTTTTTAATATTTATATTTTTTGTAGAATTTATCTGAATAAAACATTTTTTATACATTATTTCATCACAATTATAATATAGGTATCGTCCAGTTTATAGTCCCCTCAGTCTCATTAAGCGCAGAGAAAAAAACATTCACTTACAAAGCTCGGCAATAATATTTGTCGGTTCAGATGTTAGTCTGTCGTGGACACGCAATGTAACATCAAGGTACTGCTAATCGCGTGCCCTCGATACGCGTCCGCTGATTTTTATTTATGTTCCATTGCGTGCAATGCGGAATTCAATGCAGTTAGTATGATATTATTTATTGAAATTAAAATAACGTTTTTTTTTCTATTACGTGTTAACATCGCGGGCACTATGGCCTGTCTTCGGAAATGATGCTCTATATACAAATATTCCAAAGGATATGGCAGCAATACTGAAATCTCTGTTTGATATCGACGAATCATTATGAAACAAAAGCTATCTTAAAATGTTCGGCAAATGATCTCAATTAATTGGTATCAAGATTTGAAACTTAGAAAATGAAATACTTGTCACATTGTACACATTTTCTAAATTATCTGCATAAAAGTTTTTATAACGGCTGATCCAAATACATTAAAAAATTGAAGCTTACTTTATTTTTATACAAAGATCTTAAATAAAATCAAGCATGGTTAATTTATTTACAAAACGCAACAAGTCCGTTAGTTTTAGGAAGTACGCGGTGCTATGAAAATGGAAGCGATATAAGGTTAAAATGAATAATTTTTTTAAAGTTAAAATATAAGAAACATGCTATATTATGTACCAGTCGAAGCTCCGATGTCTTGCGAATGAAAAGAGAAAATTTACTATGATCACTTTCTTTTCAAACAACAGATATGTTAGCGATGTAACTCACTTTTTGTACGATGACCAGTTTTATTCTAAGTCAATTTAATCTCAAACTTCTAAAGTTTCTGTGAACATGCTAATGTTGTAAATAATGGCACATTCAATATCAATTCTTATGTGATTGTAGATAAGACAACCTCCTCAAAATTAGAGTCAGTATATGACTGTTCAAACATTAATTTTATTTCATTGTTACACAATATAGATTCATACAGCTGACTTCCGTTTTTACTTCAGAAGGTTAATGAAATATAAAAACTGGTCATTTTGGACGTAAGTGATGAAAAGAGGCACCGAAATACATATTAGCATTTTAAGCACTCAAGCCAACCTTTCCTTCTCATAAAAGGAAACGGAAAAAAATATCTTTTTTTTTTAAAGGTTAAAATAAGAAAACGAACCTTACTATGATGAAGATAATTATTTGTGTTTGGTACAGATAAGTGATTCTGAAATAAACAAAAACAAATGAATACGTGTTGGAAGCAAAAAACACACAAATAACGAAAACAACATAAAATGTGTTAAAACAGTCGCCGACAGGAAAATAAGTATTGGCATATATGTAGGTATATGTCTCCAAAGCCATTGTTAGATTAACTAATTATAATTTATATTATTCTCAAGAGTTTTGACAGCGCAGTCCTTTGAGCTGATGCTTGTTTTGGATGCGAATACCTCCTCACACGGTTTTTTTTAATAATTACTTCTGACGTTTAGCCGTGTAAATACAAGAGGGAAAGTAAGTATCTTGTGAATAGTTTATTGTAACATATTACATACTAGCCGTACTAGCCCGCTGCGCTGGGCATTTAAAATTAACATTATTATTTCTCACCCCTCCCTCCCCTAAATATTCAAATATTCTCACCATTAACGCCCCCGCAACTGGTGTAGGGAGTCCAACACTCATATAAATATTAGCCTATCCAATAAGTACATGTATTTTCTACATGGATACCAAGTTTCAAGTCAATCGGATGCATGGTTCAGTAGTTATAACGGAACATTCGTAAAAAACGCTGTAGATTTATATAATATATTAGTATAGATATAATAAATGCTAGGGTATATGTATTGTAAGTAATATTCTTTTCACTGTTTTATTTTCAGCCCCCGCTTGTGCACTGCTGAACATAGACCTTCCCCAAGATTCGCCAAAATAATAGATCTTGCGCAGCATCCATCGGATTACCGCGAATGTCAGCAGGTCGTCGATTCACCTCGTGGGAGGACTACCCACGCTGCGCTTTTTCGGTACGCGGTCGCCACTTGAGAGCTTTCAAGCCCTAGCGGCCATCTGTCCTACGAGCAATGAGCCCTGTCCACTGCCACTTCAATCTTGCAATCCTTCGGGCTATGTCAGTTAACCCGGTTCTTCTGCGAACCTCTTCATTCCTGATTCGATTTCGCAGAGAAACTCCGAGCATAGCCCTCTTTGAGTGACTTTGAGCCTTTTGATAAGGCCCGTTGTCCGCGACCACGTCTCACTGCTATATGTCATCACTGGCAACACACACTAGTCATAGACTTTCGTCTTGAGACATTGGTATTTGGGATGAGATAATTTTCGTATAAAAATTTCAGCACTTTGATGTACAAGTGATCAACTTGGCACCGTCGGAGAGAATGCGTTACAGCCTAGTCTCAATCGAATCAAAGGCTTTTTCGTAGACCACAAACGCTAAGTAGCAAAGTAGCAGGTTGTATTCTTTGGCATTTTGTACAACCTACCGCGACGTATGAATGTGGTTTAAGATACTGTAGCCTTTTTGAAAGCCGGCTTGTTCGGGTGGCTGAAGGTCAAAAATACCTCGAACCGGTCCGTAATGACTCTCGAGAACAACTTATATAAATGGCTCAGAAGTGAGATGGGTTTACAGATCTTCAAACGGGTATTGTCACCCTTTTTGAAGAACAATACCACACCTCTGATCCCTGCCTGGGGCATTGAGTTAGACGCAATTAAACAGTTTCTGAAGGGCTTTCACTCAGCAGTTCAGCAGTGGTTCTATCACCCAGTGCTCTGTTGTTCTAAGTTGTTTCAGAGCCATACTAATCTCACACAAGCTGGGATACCCATCTGCATAGTGTCGGGTATCTATACTTTGTATATACTTTGGTTTTTTTTTACATTTAAATAACAGATTGGAGGTCAGTTTAGTTTAACTTTAAAATTACAGATTTAGACGTCAGTTTAGCGTGACATTTAAACGACTGATTTAGAGACTAGTTTAGCTTGACTTTTAGATGCATCCCATTCTTTTTAATTAATGAGCGTTTTATTAACCGTTGAAGCAATTCCGAACAATCGCTGTCCGCCCTAGTGTGCACTACTTTTTGACAGCGCCTGTATTGTATTACGGAATTATTCAAGAAATTATTTTTTAAACTCATATTTTTCTAGTATTTAAAATCGGTTTACTGTATTATTTGATCAAAAATACAAATTATGCCGCGATCTCATTTGGGTCAGATTGTATTTATTGTCTTTCAAAGTAAAAAAAAATAGTATTTTCACAAATAATACTATTTGACTTCTGCACTAGATTCACATTATTGATCTGTCCCTTACAGCGATAAAGTTTGGTGTCAATTGAGAATATTAATAAATATTTATATTGTTCAATGTTTAATTTATAATTTATCCTAGATTGTTAATCTAAGTTTATTTTACGTTGGCATGATTGAAACTATTTTGAAAAAAAAGAAGAAAATAAATTATATTAATAATAAATTTTCTGAAATCATAGCTATAATTAAAAGCATTAAATACTTCTTATATCTTTTCTTGTTTTAAAACTACTTATTACAACAAAAACTAAACACTCAAAAACATACTAGGTACAGTACTTCCGAATTAGAAAACAGAGTACGAAACTACCATAATGCGAACGTAAAGCTATACGAATAAGGTTTAATATGCTATCACTCAACACCGATACTTATGTCGTTCTAATAAGTGACAGCTTTGATGCTTGCGAGTACGAAAAGTGAAATTGTTGAATTCACGCGAGTTTTAAGCATTAACGTTTTTGTACGTTATCCGGCTGTTATCGGTCCAAATAATCGTCCAAATTTTTGAGTGTTAAGTTTCCTTGTAGAGCAATGAGGGCAAACATCTTTCATCTAACCAGATCGACTGGATGGAAAGAGCTGACGTCGACTTACAAAAATATCCAAGAACTTTGATTGCATTTTTTATGCATACAGTAGATTGGGAGGAATAGGGACAAATCTGGGATGTCACAATACTTTTGTTGAGTTGTTAGATTTAACTTTGTTGTACTGAAAGAATATTAAATAGTTAATTTAGTCATCAAAGTTTTTTAACTCAATAAAGATATTAAAAAGTTAACTACCTAAAGTTAGGTGCCTACCTAACAATTAAATAGTACCAGCCCTATCGAAAAACTCTATTGTCCCCTTAAACGACCCAATTCACCCCCAACGCCTGGGTGAATAGGGACAAGTTTACTGGTGGTAGGACCTCTTGTGAGTCCGCGCGGGTGGGTACCACCACACTGCCTATTTCTGCCGTGAAGCAGTAATGCGTTTCGGTTTGAAGGGTGGGGCAGCCGTCGTTACTATACTTGAGACCTTAGAACTTGTATCTCAAGGTGGGTGGCGCATTTACGTTGTGGATGTCTATGGGCTCCAGTAACCACTTAACATCAGGTGGGCTGTGAGCTCGTCCACCCACCTAAGCAATAAAAAAAAAAATAGTAGTGAGTTTTGTAACTTTTTATGATTGTTTTTTAATACACTATATCATAATGCATTATAAATAAAATTTTAAACTACCACTATGATCTAGGTTTTATTACAATAACTACAAAAAAAAAACGATAAAAATCAATGTCTAACTTAAAAAGTGTCCCGATTCCCCCCATTTTACGGTAGTTATTTTTTTTCTATTATCACCGGACCCTATCCGATATGTGATTTATAATTATAATTTTATTTAAATGTTATAGGTTTTCAATTGTCAATGTCAGCCCGCTCCGACGCGTCGCCCGCCCTCATTGTCGTACGTGTACGTTAGACGCACGTTACCTGCGCGTCGTACAGCGTGTGCGGCGCCGCGCTGGGGGAGCCGGACGCGGGCGACACCGCCCCGGGCGACGTCGGACTCTGACAACAACAATTTAAACTGAACGTTATACAGACTTTTTGGCGGGAACGCGAGGAGTGAAGTTGTGTGATTTGTTTTATTTTGTCTATTTAATGTTTCTTCAGGTTTAAATGTGTAATAACGCTGGTTTATTAACTATTTAATATCTGTGAAAGTGCACAAATGTGGGAAAATGAAACAAAGTCGCTGGACGTAACTTCTCGGGATCCTCCAAAAAGCCCACTGAAAAAATTCAGTAAATGACCACAATTTTACTAAGATTATGTTTCATCCCATATCAAATTAATCATCTTCATTTCATTTCATTTCACTCCATATTATCATTTTTCATTAAGATAAGAATATAAATTAAAATAAGACATGACTTAAAGGTCTTAGTTACCAGATTTTAAAATACCTCAAAAAAAAAAAGAACGTTATACACACAGATTTTATTAAACACTAATTGTGAATACAATTATTACAAAGGCATATACATTACAAACTTGTAGGCAGACGAGAATACGGCCCACCTGATGGTGAGTGGTTACACTCGCCCATGGACTTCAGCAATGCCAGGGGCAGAGCCAAACCGCTGCCTACCGCTTAATACTCTCCACAGGCCTCGTTTGAAGAAGGACATGTCATAGCACTCGGGAAACACCGTGGAGGGGAGCTCATTCCATAGCCGGATGGTACGTGGCAAAAAAGACCTCTGGAAACGCACTGTGGATGACCGCAGTGGCTCCAGGTAGTATGGATGAACTCTACTCCGGTGGCGGGCGGTGCGATGGTAAAAACGAGATGCCGGTATCATCTCGAATAATTCCTCAGAGCACTCCTTTTCATTCTGCTTTGTTGAACAAGTAAATTTGAGATGTGGACTTCATTTATTTATTTAAAAAAGTACTGCCACATCATAAACATTTAACATTGAAAATAACATAAACTATTTAATTTACGGCCTGATGCATGTGGTAATAATGGCGTACATGACATTGGCAATTCATCGGCTCGAAAATAGAATAATGAAATAGAATACAATAATAATAAAATAAAAAAGAGAATACCTAATGAAAACATACTTTGAGATTTAAATATAACAAGTTTAAAACAGTAATAATTGTTGAAATATTAATATGAACTAGTGGTCCCGCAGTAGTCGAAATTCGACTTTAATCAATTGAAATTTTATGTCTTAAACATTATTATGGTTCTATTGTCAAATACTATTATACTTATATAATATAATCACAGATTTCGCCAAAACCACACTATACATAGACAATAATAAATACAAACAATATTCATGTATTCTCGATTTGACCACAGACTTAAAACACTAACAAAAGTTTGACAATTGACAATAAACAAAGAGTATATTTATATATAGTCAAAACCGTTTACTGCGACATCGTTTAATACAACATGCCGGTTATAATAACCTAGAACAAAGATCCCGGCTGAATGCCATATGACCGCCTTATTAAAAATATTGCTTTCTACGACATTGGTAATAACGACATACCTCATAATACGACCACATTTAACTAATATTTCGGAAAATCAGATCTGTTAGAACGACCGGTTAAGCTGTATTGTAAACAATTTGAAAAGGTATCCACATTTGTCTTCAATGGCTTTTAAAATCAGGAAAGAAAACAATAGGATTTAATTTAGTGTAGGGTCTTTTCAAATTCTTAGAAACAAAACACGTGCATGCGGTAGTCAAAGCCCGCTTCTTCATATCTCTTCAGTTAGTTTGTTACTTATCTATACACAAGACGCACCGAGACTGTGGAGTTATTCGTGAAACTTTCAAAATGTCGCAAAGAAAAAGAAAACAAATTAATATTGAAGAAAAATCGCGTATTATGTAAATATATTTTTCCAATAATTCCCTATCGATTTGTTTGTACTTGCACGATACACATTAAACATCACCGGTTGTTACGACTATCGGTTTTTACGACTGAATATGAGCAGTCCCTTCGATAGATGTGTAATAAATTATATCATATCATATAAAAAAAAAAGTGGACTCACGTATCTATTGTGGTAGTCAGGCGAGGTGTTGGTTCGGTGCGGCAGGTAGTGCGGCGAGGAGTGCGGGAAGTGCAGGGCGGTGAGGTCGGGCAGCGAGCCGCCCGGCACCTGCAGCTCGCCGCACGCCAGCCCCCCGCCCCCGCCGCCGCCGCCGCCCTCCCCCCCGCTCTCGTACACGCTGATACGATTTATAGATATATAGATTAAGACTAACTGTATCCGTCCCCTGTTTGCCGGACATTTAAAATTAAAATTATCATTTCTCATCCCCACAAAGGTTCTCGTCATTAACGCCCCCGCAACTGGTATAGGGAGTCCAACACTCGTATAAATATTAGCCTATCCATTAAGTACATGTATTTTCTACATGGATACCAAGTTTCAAGTCAATCGGATGCATGGTTCAGTAGTTATAACGGAACATCCGTAAAAACCACTGTAGATTTATATATTAGTATAGATTACAGGCAGCGGCAGAATAACAGCGATAGTTTCAGCTATCACAAAGCTGAGCCGCGGCCTTTTTATCTCCACTCATCATTATCCTACTCTTCTCCCAGTCACCTGGGGTCGGCGCAACATGTTTTCTCCTTCCATACTCTTCTATCGTATACTATTTCTTCGCTCACTCCCCTCTTACCCATATCGTCTTTCACGCAATCCATCCATTTCTTCTGAGGTATACCTCTTCCTCTATATCCTTCCACATACATAGTTAACATTTTCTTACCAATCTCAGTTTCATTTCGTCTCAACACATGCCCATACCATCCCAAACGCGCACTTCTCAGCTTCTCTGTCACAGGTGCCACTTTCAGACTTCCTCTAACATATTCATTCCGTATTCTATTCATTCTCGTTACTCCACACATCCATCGCAACATTCGCATCTCTGCTGCATGCAATCGCCTTTTTATCTCCACTATGTGTGTATAATATATTCTAATATTGTTTAGAATTAGAATTTTTATGTCATATTAATTGAAATTTTATTTGTATTGTGGAGTAAATAAATGCAATTATTATTATTATTATTATGATAGAACGATCACATATTAGACTTGGTTCCGGACACCGTCCTCGCCGAACCCGTCGCTTGGGACGAAGGGCTCGGCGAGTAAATTAACCCACCGACACATCCCACTGAGTTTCTCGCCGGACCTTCTCAGCGGGTCGCGTTTCCGATCCGGTGTTTCCCTAAAGTTTTAGTTTTGTACAGTTTTACCTAAACGCTTGTATTAATTTAATATGATTCAATGAGTACATTTAAAATGAATGTGTCATGCCAAATTGACAAATCAAAACTGCTCATTAGGTCAAAGGATTTTTTCAAGGCCGTATTTTTTTGCTTACTGTCCATTTTTTGGAAAGTAGTTACCGGAACACACAATAATTTCAATGTGAACGCCACCACCCAACCTTAAGACACGAGACAGTCTTAATTGAAATGCATCATATAAGGGCGTATAACTCTTAATATTCGCGTTTGTTTTATATTATTATATACGTACTTATTATTATTTGGTATCCTCGGTATTTCACATGATGATCTGGGACGATTCGTCGGATGCATGCCCATTCCTAAAACGTTTAAGTGCATTTCGCCAACTGAAAAATATAAAAGAAGAAATCAGTTATCAAAAATTATACATGTAATATAAAAAAAAATACACTAATTAGTTTTCAAATCTCTTCTTTGTCTCTCCACCTTATCCCACTAGGTGGGGTCGGCACAGCGAATTTTTTTTATTATATTCTCCTCTATCGGCCGTTTACTCAGCACTCTTTCTCTCATATTGTCATTCACACACTCTATCCATGTCTTCTTCGGTCGATCTCTTCCCCCTCTACCTTGCACTACCATTTCTATTCATCTCTCTATGCATCACATATACCACGCTAACCCTCAGTTCTTTAACTAAATAAAAAAAAGTATTCAAATAAAGACAATAAATTTAATACGCATACAATAACATAATTTTATATATCACAATCTGTACATGTGTCGAAAGGTTTTTGTAGACACAGTTTGTTCAATAATAAAATATGAATTGATGAGGCATTAGGGATTGACGTCACAATCTATTATTTTTAATGAACGAAGTGTAAAGGCAAGTTATTATAATAACTTGCCTTTACACTTCGAATTTCGAATTATGGAAAATTCAACTTGTTTTATAACTGTAACAATTACATAGACCGGTGTATTCGTGTTTAAATTATAATTATGTGGTTTTGCGTTGATGGTCGCGTAAAACGGTACACCTACTTAAGATATCATATATAACTTGCTCGAGTTATTAAATACGAAGTTTTTATGTAGATTGAAATTCACATGCGTGAAAGACAAAAAAAAACTGTGACGTCAATGCTTACGTTAACTTTGGCTATATTTCGCGTATAGATAATATTATTTGAGATAAAAAAAAATGTTAGTACATACTAAATTTAAATAATTTTTATTTATTTCATGAACGAATTTAAGGTCAATAGACTCACAGTCCCCCTGTTGTTTGTTAAGTGATTATCAGAGCCTATCTAGATCAGAAAGGGGTGGGTACCTTGAGACATGAGGACTAAATCTTAATTGTATAGTTAAGCGGTTGCCTCACATTCGAAACCCGCCTCGCTCTTTCACAAAGGTGTGCTTAGTGTGGATATTTTATCGGAGTTGGAATTTATATGGAGTTGGAACATTGCCTCTAGCGGCAAACATAGGGAAGGTATTCCAACTCCATACAAATGTGAGTTAACTTTAACGCGATCGTAAAGTTAAAAAACTCGCACTAAGCACACAGAAATATATAGGTTGGAGGTGAGTATGATACGATACGCAGCGTATCCATCCGAATTCACAAGACACCGTACTGCCAGATTAAATATTTTTTTCTGGAATCACCCTAATATAGATTTAAAGTTTCGATTGAAGGTTAAATGAGTCGACTATTATCAAAGCCGGCAATCTGACTTTTGGACAATGATTGGTAAATCAGAAAAACGAATTATTGACTTTGTATTCCATTGGCAGTCACAAAACTCTTCGGAACGACAACTTAGATAAATAACAGGTTAACTATTAACCTTTATTTAATGCAGGTTTTGAGCCGTATTCTTTGAAGGAGACGATTATATTCAAATCAATCTGTATTGACATATCAATAATTTTTTTTTGTCCAAATGCACAGATTGCCACCTTTGATAATAGACGACTCAAATATAGCTTTAATAATCAGGAGTATATTAATTACAACTTCATTTTCAAGGCAAGCTGAGCATAATACCAATATATTGCTAACTCGTGTATTGATTATTTATTAAATGGATAATTAAACGTGCAATTCACTATGTCACGTAAATACAATCATTGTACACGTATTACATTCATTCATAACAGACTGATACAAAAGGACGTATTTTTATTGTGACGTAAAGTGAACAAGTCAACATTGTATTTACTATGTGTAGTGTATTTGATTATGTTTAGTGAATGAATTAATTCTTTTTGAGAGTTACAAACAGTAGAATAAAAATACATATTAGATAAATCAAAACATCAAAGTAAAATCATTCATTAGAAATTAAGAAACAATTTTTCCATCCATAATAATATAATGAGATCCCTGACCAAAATTACACAATTGAAACTCATTTAAGAAAGGGTAAATTAACTGTTTTTATCATCTCGCTCATAATCTGTTCGTAGGGTCGGCATATGTTTTCATGTTGTAGTTTTATTTGATTAACATCCGGGCTGGTGGGAATGGATTCAAACTAAAGAACTTTTTTTGTGTTGCTTATATGGGTGTACGTGCTCACGGCCCACCTGATGTTAAGTGGTCACCGGAGCCCGAAGACATCTACAACGTAAATGCCGCCACCCACCTCGAGATATGAGTTCTAAGGTCTCAGTTTTTACAGTACAACGGCTGCACCGTCTTTCAAACCGAAACGCATTACTGCTTCACGACAGGAATAGGGAAGGTGATGGTGCCTACCCGTGCGGACTCACAAGACTTTCTACCACCAGTAATTAAGCAAATTATAATTTTACGGGTTTGATTTTGATTACATGACGCTATTCCTGAACTCGGCGTAGGAAATCAGTAGCTTCTACTAATATTCCCAGTTTCAAATGCTTTAGTGGGTGAACGCTATTCTTCTACGCCATGCTAAATGATTATCAGAATCCATACACTATACAATTCCATACTGTTGATTTATTATATGTATGTAAGTATATTAGTATGTATGTATATTGGTATATAAAACAAATAGTTATATATTTCATATTATATTTAAACGGTATATATCTGTTTATTGTAATGTATATATTTTCTATAATAATGTTTATAGTCCACCACAACATACCTGCTATATTTTTATATTTTCCAGAATTTCTGTAAATTAAACGGTTGGCTGAAAGAGATCGCTTTTTGCGATAAGACCGCCTTTTTAACTGTTTTTGAATGTAAATTGTGTTTTGGTGTGCAATAAAGTGTATTCTCTGTCTCTTTCTATAACGCGAATTGCGCCACTCACCCTGGGACGTGAGGACCAAGTCTTAATATTAGCGTACGTATATGGCTGACCTACCCTTCAAACCGGAACGAATGGCAGTTTCGTGGCAAAAACACGCATGATCGTGGTACCAACCCGTGCGGTTTTTTTTTCTCATCCTGTCTCCAATAAATGCAAGTTGGGGATTATAGTACGCCGGTATAGTACTTAGAGGATGCCGTTATTCACTCTCTGATGAATCACTTTGTCGCTTCTACGCGATGCGATGGGGCGTGGTATTCTAAGTTACACAGCCACCTTTATTTATTTATTTTTATTCATTGTTTAAGTAGGCATTTGCTATGTTATGGTCAATCCTGGAAGAACTAAGCGTAGGATTTTCGTCAAATTAAGGCTGCATCGGATTCCATCATCAATGTTGGTATACGCTGCGCAGAGCACAGTAAAAAATGGAAGAACATAATCCGAATAAAAGTGCTTCGTAAAGGTCCCGACCCTTGGAACTGAGGAACACGATGCAAGGAGGAAATGAGAACATGGTACTCTTTGGATTGATGGTACGCTTACGCATGGTACGCTTTGGATGACACGAAACGAGGACTGGCAGTGTCGCATAAAATTCAATAAAGAATTGCGAATTCATCAGCTTTCGCGCAGTCATAGAAGCATTCCTTTTTTAGTTAATTAGTCATCTTAGTCGTGCATTCTTTCAGGAAACGTACAAGAAAAAGTACTAAAATATGCCGATCGTAATTGAATGGTATCACCTATGGTAATACCTTTTTTGGTATCGTGACGTACTGAGATCGCGGATAAATAAAATGTTTATAAATGGGTATAAAAGTTAATTATCAATTACGACATTCATATTAAAACAAAATGTATGGTGGTTTTTCGTTTTTAATGACACGGTTTTTGTATTAGATTCGCGAGGAATCTAATACAAAAACCGTGGACCGGACGAAGGAAACAATACATTTCTTACGGCGAAACTAAGCTGGTAGACATTCGTTCTTACGTTCCCGTACAATAAATGGTAATAAAAATGTGTCGCTCCATATAGGAACAGGATGAACATCGAGATAGTATATTTGTTCTACGCGTGGAATATTATTAAATAAATATGGAGACGCATTTTATTTTTGTCAATAGTAGGTGAGACATGCACTTCTAAAGAAATAAAAGTATGTATATTATAAAATAAGTAATATAATATAATATATAATAAGTAATATATTATAAATATAATATCGTATAAAAAGACGAGACCTTTTTTTAGCTATTAATTAGATAGTCGTGTTCAGTAAATAAAACTAAAATATTATTTTAGAATAATGTTATGTAGTTTTTGAGACTTTTTTTTTGCACTAAACATGATATTAAACGTAGTGGTAACTAATTAGCTTAGCGTACTAACAACTTATAAACTTTAAAATTTCACAAAATTCAGAACATTTCAGAGGTTTGTATTTTCTGCTTCTTCTAATTTTATTAAGAGCTTTTTGTAATTAGACTAATGGTATAACGTTTTTTTTATATCCACATAATATTCTTATTTTGTTTTTAAAAAAGACACACAAAAGGGATTATAAAGTTTTAGGTGAACCAAATGAACAGTTCGCAACATATTGAAGTGAAGGATTTAATAAACAAACTTAACTACACTTTATTAAAAAAATTCTTACCTCTCCTATGATTTTGATGCGGATGCAAGTGAGGGTGTGCGTGTGAATGTAGCGGATGATGGTGGGGGGAAAGCGACGGCGCACCCGCTTGCTGGTCGCCCCCACATGACTGGTGTAACGCCGAATCAGAGTTCGTACGTCTCCAGTTGCTGTCCGGCGGTGGACTATTTGGGAAAAAAAATTTAACGATATGTAAACGATCGGTTCAATAACTCTATATCTTCATAATATTTTTTATTGCAGATGAGAGGACGGACGTCTTATTCTTTAGGCCACGACGACTTCAAATTATCGGTTGTACCAACCCTTCAAACGGGAACGAGTGATCGATCCGCGACGGAAACAGGCAGAATACACCCTACTACTGTGCGGGCTAACAATACACTTTATCACCAGTGATTACTCAAATTCTATAAGCTTCGTGGAGATCGTTCGTGCAAATGTTTGAAATACGTATTGCCCTGGAGTAATTGGTCGGTGGGATTTCCAGAGCGACATAGCTTGTTTAGAATTGTAATCCAGAATAAATAAAAACTTTTTTTAAAAACTATGACGCTATGTACCGTTTACGATTAATTTGTTTTTATAAAACAGAAGAGACGAGTATTGATTATTGCTTAGATGAACTCTGAATAGAAGGTGTCTAAAAGAAATTTTGACATAACATAGAAAAGGGGTCCCTTCATTACGTGAGGCATTTTTGAGAATTTTTGACCCAAGCTTTAGTGAGATTTTGCAATATTTTCTCCTAATCTCACGAGAGATTCTTCAGAATTTGTGTGAAAGGGTTGTATTATTATGAACAAAAAAAAACAAATCTTGTTCTATTAGGTACTTTTATTGATGACTAGTAAAGACTAGATAGTATTTGTGAACATTACCGTAATTTAAAATCACAATTATAAAATTAAATAAGAAATATTAAACAGAAATTTAGAAAATATTTATTCTAATTCAGTTCGTGGAAATTCGTGCACGGCCTTAAGAATGACTACTGGGACCAACATATCCAAGTGATTTTCAATGAAACTATCTGCTCCTTCTACTTCGCTCTAAATTAGCTACTCTAAGCCGTTGTCGCTTGCGTATAGAAGCTAACTAGCTTGTCCTGTGACCATCCGCGAGGGTCGCATCTTGCGCGTTTACAGTACGTACATGATGGGCCCTTATCGTTGCCGCCGCTAACTATTCCCCGAATCCTGATCACATAGGAACCAGTCACCGTCTACGCCCTAGACATCCTTACCGATCCATCAGATCCAACAACTCTTGCATTAGACGCTTTCAGCTCTAACACTAGAAGCAGGCTCGGACTCCGATAACCATACTTGTCGAACTCGGCAAAGAGTGCAACCTAACTCATGCATCAGCCCGCTGAGTTTCTCGCCGGATCTTCTCAGCGGCAGCTGTTAACAAATCCCACCACTCCTGGCTGAGCCTTTGCTCGCCTACCTGTAGCTTGATCACATTCCCCCCTAGAACACCTCACGTAACTAATGGACGCCCCCGCCTTAATGATTTAAAAGTGATTTTATGTGTTTCGTCAAAACTGTTGTCGATCAACTTAATATTATTAATATTATTGATAATATATATTCAATTTAAATTACAGCACGGTATAAGTAATTCAAATAAAGGCGAATGGATATTTGCTGTAATTTTGCTAATGTTTAAAAACACTAAGCAGGCGATACAAAGTCCTTTTGGTACATTTCAATGACTTATTTCCTGTTAATTTTCTTGACCCAAACTCGAAACAATTATTATTAAATATGAATGAGTCTTCCTGGAATGGGTCACGACAATGAGAATTGTATTATTATTGCTATGACTCATTAAATATTTGCTCGAAGAATCAATTACTGCATGTCATACATTATGTTACTATGTTATTGAGACTTCGGGATTGTCATTATACTGTGTGAAAAACGTGGTTATCACTTATAATTTGCATTTATATTTTATTATCACTTTTATCTTCACTAGGCAACGCTTAGTTATTAATACTACAGAGCGGTAAAGTGGCGCAAGCCCAAACCGTTACGATTTAAATCTTAACAATGTTAGATTTTGTTTCACAAATTTGTGACAGACCATTTGTTTTTAAAGTTGTGCGTCGGCATTAGGGTTTGCAGCTAGTTTTGATATAGACTCTGACCTAAATGAATTTAAAATAAGGCGGTTTTCAGTCTTTTAATTAAAACAGGCCATCGTTTCTGGCTGTAATGGCGACAGTTTACACTACTAGCCTCTTTTGATCGCTCGTTTTATATTATATATTTTTTAAATGGATTTAAATTAAATGCTTGCCAAAAAAGCTTACTTTTTTTTCAAACAAATAATATTTTAATGTACCCACCTTAAGTAAACAGTGCTTCCATAAGGACTGGTATCATGCTTCCGGTCGGCAGGTCGGCGCATTGGACCTACAGACGAGGAGGTGCGGCCTCTTTGACCAGGCGAACGAGACGGTGATGTCCCTCCACTGCGACCACCACCCAGGCCATATTGTGTTGCCAGTGTAGCTTCTTCAGGCTAGTGACAATCAAAATATACTAATCACTTGCAACAAATATCAATAGATTCTACTCCTCTATCAGGGATTGCAACACATTTAATTGGTTTTACCCCAAGCTGATAACTGTAACATAACAAATATTACAATATAGGGAAATAGCAAATAAGGAAACATGATTTAAATTTTCCTGAAATGACTTATGCTCACCAATATTTTCATTTATAAGCACTTTCTGATTTATGACTTAATTATGATTAGCCAGAGAAAAATAAGTGTTGAAAACTCTGAATTACATTAAGTAGTAGTTATGCCTGTGGGCTTAAATAGTATTTTAACATTATCCTTCTGAAAATGAATAAAGCCATCTATGGAGTACCACTATAAGAACACTTATTTACTTGATATTAAATGAAAACATTGTGATTTTTTGAGATAACGAGCAAGTATCCTTACTACAGTGAAACTAAAAAAATGAAATTGGAATTTATTCAATAGTTTTTGCATTATATGCATATAACGGCATAAATTCATCATTTTATAGTTTTTTCTGTGCCAATCAAAAGTAAATGTTCAAAGAAAGAGGAAAGGATAGAGAATCATCATTCATAACTTCAATCTTAGGAAAAGGCACTACAAATGATAAACATGCCCATTGCTCTTGCTTTGCATAAGTATGTTTATTTAAGACCGTTTTGAATCATGCTAAATCCTAACTAGAAAAAAAAATTATCATAATAAATACATATTTCTGATTCATAAGATAACACATAGTAACGTATAAAGGTAAAAATAAAATTTGACAAATCCTAATTGATACAGTTTATGTTTTACTATACTTTGTAGATTTCAGGAATCACACAAAGTGAACAGATGAGGAACAAAACACTTGTTTACATTGTAAATATTTAGACCACATGTTTTAACATAAATAATGTGTGGTGTCTCAATGGTAATTAGCAGTGTTAAGCAAAATTCATTTATGTTATAATGGCAATATATTTTATCAACATTATTATTTCGATACATAATTGAAAATAATTGAAGGAAACTCAAGGTATAACAGACAAGAAATCTAGATGTTGAACGTTTCAAAAAATTAACAGCCAGCTACAACTGCACCACTACCACAAAACAAAATAGCAACTTGCAGGAATACATCAACCTAGATATTGCAAATATTTATTATACTTCTAGCTGAGGCTTGATAATTATTATATGGCTCAGCAATATCTTATTTAAGTAATATTGTTCCTTATGAAGTACCTTGAGTAATTATTTGCAATATTCTGATTGATGGTAACAAAGGATTCCAAAATTGAGGAACCTTAACATTTTCCGTCTCTATGTCGGTGGCCTGTGGTGCAGCCACATTTGGCAATGAGCCACTGCGAAACGTGCCCAGCCCTTGCTGAGAAGGTCGGAGTGACGCTTCATTTGTTTCAGGGGTCTTGGGTGGAGCTTTGTTTCTGGTACGCCTGGTACTTGAATTAACCTGAAACCACGGATCTTCACCATCTCTAACTTTATTTTTCTATTTTATGAAACTTTTTTTTTCTTTTTTCAATATTGAAATATTCAATAATATATGTTTTTATCCACCTATTCTAGTAATCTCAAGGGGTTAATCTAGATTCACCGAGCCAGTAGGTAAGCTCACGGGGCTCAAACCGGAGGTGTTTCTAACACTGGCCCTAGCAAGAGCAGTGCTTCGCAGAATCTACCACCGGATCGGAAACGCGGCCCACTGAGAAAATCCGGCGAGAAACTCAGTGGGCTGTGTCTATGGGTTAATTTACTCGTCGAGCCTTTCATGGCAAGTGACGGGTTCGACGAGGGCGGTGACCGGAATAATACAAGGAAAACCATGAATAGTGTAAAAAAAAAACAATTACTTTTCATTCAATAACAATAATAACTTGAATGAAGTTGCTCTCGAAATTGATGTTCAAACAATCGCAACAAATAATTATATGTGCCGAATGTCTATTAGGGTTAAATTATTTTTAAACTTATAACTGGCTATTGTGTAGAAGTTAAATGAAATACCTACACATTGACAATGACAATTGGGAAATACACATATACAAAACAATGTAGTTTTTGTTGTGTACAAATAGCATTATATTAATAATCTAAGTAGTTAAGGCGTAATAGGCATATTGCAATGATTATTGTTTACGTTGGTGGGCACATTTGACGGCCAGGAAGCGATTGTCTGAGTAAANCTGGCTATTGTGTAGAAGTTAAATGAAATACCTACACATTGACAATGACAATTGGGAAATACACATATACAAAACAATGTAGTTTTTGTTGTGTACAAATAGCATTATATTAATAATCTAAGTAGTTAAGGCGTAATAGGCATATTGCAATGATTATTGTTTACGTTGGTGGGCACATTTGACGGCCAGGAAGCGATTGTCTGAGTAAATAGGAGACATACCTTATTGGTTGCGTCGGAAACTTCACGCATAATTTTTTCAAAAGCGGCAGTTTCCTCAGCCTGCTTTTGATTATGGAGGGCAATTTTTTCACTGAATTTCCTTGGATTTGCCATGATGGCCAATACACATTTATTTCTCGTATTTTTACATTACAATTTTCAGCGCTCAAAGATCCAAAACGCGCTTGCTGCTGTCATCTCTATCAGGCAAGCCATAGATTATATTTAACAATACATTTCGAGTACCCATAGTTCTACTCTACATCCCAACAATGAATCGCAAAGAACGGCAACTATAAAGCCTGCACTGTACACGTACTAAAGGTAATGTTGATTCAAAATTATTAAATGTATGAGGTTGAATGCTATTTATATTGCAAGAAGCAAGTAAACAGACAGACAGCACTCAAGAGTAAAAAATTTTAACAAACAATTTTTGTGGAGATAAAATTTACTAGTTTTTTAAAAAAAGTTATTTTTTTTTATTATTAACCTTATACTGCAGATATTTTAATGCCTCAACTTGTTACTCAGGGCCCATCTGAAGTTAAATGAATACCGGAGCTCATATCTATCACATCTTGAAGCTGCCATCCACCTTGCGACTTGGTCTCGAATTTTTAGTATATCACCTGTCAGTTTAGTAGACCACTGACCATAGGTCAAACTGAAATGCATGACAGCTTCGTGAAACAAGAAGGTAAGATGTTGATTCATACTAGTGTGGCTATAAAGCACCCTACAATCAATGGTGGTTTATTAAATGTTTAATATCTGTGAAAGCGCACAAATGTGGGAAAATTAAACAAAGCCTCTGGACGTAACTTCTCGGTATCCTCCAAAAAGTCCACTGAGAAAGTCTCAGTAAATGACCATCATTTTACTGAGATTATAATATTTCATCACATATCATTTCATCGCATTTTATTTCATTTCACCTCATGTTATGTTTCATAATATTAATCGACTTCATTTCATTTCACTTCATATTATCATTTACAGAGTTAATTACTGAGCATTTCTCAAAATTGTTGACCGCAATTTTAAAAATCATCTTAAAATATAATATGTATATATAGTTACCACGCGAAAGTAACAAAACCAGAAGTAACAAAAGGGCGGGTACAGAGTTTCAATAAAATACAGATTCTTTAAAACTCAATAGTTAAAACAGTATTTTACATCAAATTGTAGTCCATAAAGTTACCTAATATTCTTCCTTCATACAGGGTAACAAAATCCGGATCGAATTCGCCGCAGTGCAGGGCACAACGTTACGGCCTGGCCACGGGGATCGGCGGTGCGAACGACGAAGCGGTGGATGAGGCGACCATTCGCGCAGCATCGTTTGCAGGCCACGGGTACTCACGTTCGCCGCCGCGACTAGTAAGGAAGTCCGACAGCGAAATGTCTATATCGAAATTATCTCGATATTGCTTACAAATTAATAGTTTTTTGGTTCAGGACCTATTATTTGGAAAAGATTGTAAAGGACATGATTTGAATAAGAATCGGAGTATACCTATAGATGGAAAATTCCACAAGAAGTACGAGAAATACTTTGGGTGGCTAGACTTCCAAATAGCTGGTCTGGCTAGTATTTCAGCTATATTTTTTTTAATTGCTTAGATGGGTGGATGAGCTCACAGCCCACCTTGTGTTAAGTGGTTACTGAAGCCCATAGATATCCACAACGTAAATGCGCCACCCACCTTGAGATAAGTTCTAAGGTCTCAAGTATAGTTACAATGGCTGCCCCACCCTTCAAACCGAAACGCATTACTATTTCACGGCAGAAATAGGCAGGGTGGTGGTACCCACCCGCGCGGACTCACATGAGGTCCTACCACCAGTAATTACGCAAATTATAATTTTGAGGGTTTCATTTTTATTACACGATGTTATTCCTTCACCGTGGAAATCAAGCGTAACATTAAAATTTGTTGAGTACGTATTTCATTACAAAAATTGGTACCCGCCTGATATTCGACTACCGGTGCATCGCTCAACACGATTGCACCGGACGTCTTATCCGTTAGGCCACGACGAGTTTAAAAATATAAAATAAATAAAAAATAAATAATATAAAAATGTCGGTGTTCATTTTTCGCGGCGAAAACAACTAAACTCATTTACGGCCTGGCCACGGGGATCGGTGGTGCGAACAGCGAAGCGGTGGATGAGGCGACCATTCGCCACGTTTGCAGGCCACGGGTACTCACGTTCGCCGCCGCGACTAGTAAGGAAGTCCGACAGCGAAATGTCTATATCGAAATTATCTCGATATTGCTTACAAATTAATAGTTTTTTGGTTCAGGATCTATTATTTGGAAAAGATTGTGAAGTACATGATTTGAATAAGAATCAGAGTATACCTATAGATGGAGAATTCCACAAGAAGTACGAGAAATACTTTGGGTGGCTAGACTTCCAAATAGCTGGTCTAGATAGTATTTCAGCTATATATTTTTTTTATTGCTTAGATGGGTGGATGAGCTCACAGCTCACCTTGTGTTAAGTGGTTACTGAAGCCCATAGACATCCACAACGTAAATGCGCCACCCACCTTGAGATATAAGTTCTAAGATCTCAAGTATAGTTACAATGGCTGCCCCATCCTTCAAACCGAAACGCATTACTACTTCACGGCAGAAACAGGCAGGGTGGTGGTACCCACCCGCGCGGACTCACAAGAGGTCCTACCCCCAGTAATTACGCAAATTATAATTTTGAGGGTTTCATTTTTATTACACGATGTTATTCCTTCACCGTGGAAATCAATCGTGAACATTAAAATTTGTTGAGTACGTATTTCATTACAAAAATNTCCACTATCCCTTCTGAGATCAGACGATCTATCTCCCTTTCTATATTCTTTTTCATGCTGAATTTTATAGGCCGTGCAGGAAGGTGGATCGGTTCAGCTTCTGGTTTGACATGTATGTTTACGTAATAATTGTTAACTTTTCCTAGTTTTCCATCAAAGAGTTGTGAATGTTTATCCAGTATTTGTTTAAGAGTAATCGAGGTTGATGTTTTGATAGAGTATACTGGTTTTGGAAATTCCATTTCAAAAACCTCACTCCAATGTAAACCAAATAACATTGGTTTCGCATTTTTCATTACGACCACAGGTAGAAGTTTTTGCAGTCCGTCGACATCGACTGTCACTTGTGCCGTAGGCCTTGAGTTTCGGGGCGGGTTGTAAAGATGGTGATCCTAATTTTTTCCACAATGTCGTGTTTATTATTGAATACGCAGAGCCGGGGTTCAAATCCATAGTGCAAGGTATATCATTGATCCGTACATCGATTTGTTTGCATTCTCTCTTACGTGTACCCAAGACGCTGCTGATAACTTCACCATCGCTTTCTTCCTTGTTATTACTGATAGATGATGATGATGATGTTGAGGACTTATGAAGTCTTGTTATTTTTTTAATTGATTTTCGGCTCCCTTCTGAATAGCTGATGTATGCCCGTCCAGACTTAATGCAACAACTCTCAAAGTGTGCTTTCGTGTTACATTCTTTACAAATATGGTCCTTGGCTGAACACTGTGATAGGCTGTGCCGTTCTTTCTTTCCACAGCATAAACAATGCATTGGATTTAATTTTCGTGTTGTATTTTGATGTAATGGTACGGTTTTGGTTTTGCTCCTATTTATTTTTTTAATACTTGTTCGTGGTGTGTCTTGTTCTGCCTGTTCTCTTGATTGAGAGATTGTAAAAATTTGTTGGAAGGTTACTTCTCGTGGTATTCCGTCTACCATTTGAACTAATTATTCTGCATAAAAGAACTATACGTGCTATTTATAACATGTACTCAAGGGAATCCCTGAGGAAAAAAACTAAAGAAATTAAAGTTCTCACTATGCCATCCCAGTACATTTTTGAAATTTTGATGTATGATTTGATATGGGACATTAACATTGCGGCTATAGTCAAAAAAATTAAAAAATGCTTTACTAGTGTTGGAGTTTGTATATAAATGTAATGGCAGGCAACACTTGACACTTGATTAGATTTCGAATATTAGAATTATTTTAAATGTTAAAAAAAACCAGATCATTGTATTCTCGTAAGAAAATGTTAGAACTTCTCATCTAGACACGGCAAGACAAACATGTAATAGATTTATAAAAAAATATAAAGATAATAATTGTATAATGGTGTAAAAGTGTTTAAGCTATCTGCAATATAATTATAATGAAGCAGTTGTGTTTTTAAACAGCCCCTCATCACCTACAGAACCCAATCCCTCAAACATAACCATCCAACAACTAGATTAATAAAATTACTTACTCAACCTAATTTATCTATACCGTCCCACGCTGCTAATTTAATTCATACTTACAGTGATATTAATAATGGCCAACATGGACAGTTTCTTCGTTTTTTATTATTTATAAACTGTAAATAATTAAAAAGTAGAAATAAATCTTATTTCTTGACACTGGCTAATGCACAAACCATACGTGACACAATAAAAAAATAGCCTGTGTTTCAAACAGAAAATTACAAAATATGTTATTACTCTATGAATTCAAAGTGCAAATTGCGATAAATGATAACGATGTGTATCATTAATTTATATTTATTAAATAAGCTATAAAATTATAGTACCTAAGTTCTGTGAACTCAATATTCTCAGTTCTTCCTTAGTGTTTTTAACGAAAATAATGGAAGAGAAATATATTTTGACTTTAGATATAGGAACTACGACAATTCGTGCGTTTATTTATAATTCTAGAGCAGAAACTGTAGGAAAAGCTGTCGATCAGGTATGTCTACGTTAGTGTTGAATAAATGTTTATTTTTATTTTATTGTGCATAGATTTCCGTAATAAATACAGTTAATACTTTAAGAAAGCAGAATTAAGTTAAGAATGCGCGACGTATTAAAAAAATGGAAGTAGACTGAAATAAATTATTAAAACTTTTAGAAATAAAGTCAAATTAAACAGAATAAACTAGTATTTTACCAAATTAAAAATGAAGCTTATTTGAAGAAAAATATTACATGTGTTTTAATTAAGGTGATTCTGCACTATCCCTGTCCTGGATTTGTGGAGATTAATCCAAATGAATTATGGAGCTCAGTTATTTCAGTGGTGAAGAAATCATTTCAAAGTAAGTAAGCTAATAAAAAAAACATTTTTTCCTTATTTATGAGAATTATTTATAATATTATTTATTACTGTTTCTTATTTATTAGAAGGGAATTCAGCTTATCTTTTTTTAAGTATTTAGAAGAGACTAAGCCACTTACCTTTAATCATAAGGTCCAAGTCTTAACTGTTTAGCCTATCCCATGAAATAGGAATTCTGGTTTTAGCTACTAGCTTTTTTTCTTACCTAAGCTTGAGCCTTGAGAGACCATGCCAGCGTAGCCTAACAGTGTGATATTTCACTTGAATGATTTTTGTGCCATGTAAGTAAAACATCAATTTGGGGTGTGGTTTAGTTTTTTTCCCTAAATATAATTGTTTGTCGGACCCAATGTCTGGAACACCTTAGCAATGTGACCATTTTTCCATATTTATACTGTAATTGTATTTTGAAAGTCAGCTTTCAGCAAATATTCTAATTCAGAGCGGATCTGACTTGTACTTAACAGTAGGCAAGGAAATATGAAGCCTATTAAGGCCAAAATTTGCCCTAGAACTCTAATTGTGTGAACTCTAATTCTCTCTGGCAGATTATTTTTTTAGATGCTCAAATAAATGAGACAGAGAAAACAGCTGATTAATACAAATAAAAAAAACTAAATAAAGATAAAATCTTGCACTCATGAACCCGCTACCGTTAGTATGGGAGCCCTACATCCAATGGCATACATGGAGAAACACACAAGATGCAGCACTAAATGAACATTCATTATTAAAAGTAACATTTCTTTTCAATAGATGCCAATCTTTCGGCTGGTCAGATCACAGCAATGGGTATATCTACTCAAAGGAGCACATTCATCACGTGGTCTCGTACAACTGGCAAGCATTTTCACAATTTTGTAACTTGGAAAGACTTAAGAGCTGACAGTCTTGTCAAACAGTGGAACAAGTCTTATACATGGAAGGTACATATAGGTATATTACTTATTGTTAACCAAATGAAAAAACAAGTACAAAATAATGATTTTATTTAATATGAGCTCTGTAAGGATCATTTCTATTTATTACCNACGTGGTCTCGTACAACTGGCAAGCATTTTCACAATTTTGTAACTTGGAAAGACTTAAGAGCTGACAGTCTTGTCAAACAGTGGAACAAGTCTTATACATGGAAGGTACATATAGGTATATTACTTATTGTTAACCAAATGAAAAAACAAGTACAAAATAATGATTTTATTTAATATGAGCTCTGTAAGGATCATTTCTATTTATTACCACTTCTTCAAATAGGATTCAGGTTAATAATTAAAATCATTTTCATGGTTTTTAATTTCTCATATATTTTGAATACTTTACTTTTTTGTGGTCATGTATGATGAAGGTATTGTTATGCATTGAACTCTTGAAAATTGTCAATTACCTTCTTCCGCTTCGCTTCAGGTAATCCGTTCGCCGTTTTGCTTCGAGTAGTTCCGATTACTATCTGACTTTGTGCCATCTCTGCAACACTTTTATTGCCGATACGACATTCCTAGATTTATCGAGAACACTCTGGGCAAGTCGAATGTGTGTTTCCGATATCTGACAATAGATGGCGTTGTACTTCTCGAGCGTTCTCGATGTTACCATACCATTCTTTAATATTAGTTTCTGCTATTCGGCGATAGATGGCCTTACTCTTACAGGCGTAACAATATTATTCATCAACATTTTGCTATTGAGCTGACCACTGTCTTATAAGAAAAATTGCGGTCGATATTAACATTTGGTGAAGCTAGTATAGCTCTTTAAGGGTACTAATAGTAGGTAGGCATATAAATAAAAAAATATTTATCTTTGCATACAGAACGAATAACAGTAAACATATTGAGGTCAGAAAACCATGGCCCTTACAGAAAACAATCATTCACATAAAAAAACAATGGTTAAATTAATACTACTTAAAGTAAGTACTTTTAGCTGAATTCGCCAATACTTCTTGGAGGCTGACAGTCAGCTCTTTAAACCACAGTGTATCCAGAGCCAGACTGAACCAATTCTCATAATTTATGTAGGCATTGCATCATTCCACTTTGTACCATTCAAGATAGAACGAAAAAAATTCCTATGGGCATTGTAAATAGCAAATTGGAATGAGCACCTTAGTGCTTAGTCTTCTACTTCGTTTATTCTTCGCTTGCCAGATGATTCAGAAGTAGCCTGTATAATGGCTAGGTATTCTGAACAAACAATACATATGTTGGCAGTATGTATATCATATTCATTGGAAGAAAGCAGAATATCAAGACAAGATAAGGCTTTCATTTGAATCACTTTTCTTTGCTACGATGAACACCATTCTATCTGTATCTACCGGGAGTAGTCTGAGAAATTGTTATATTACCTATTTTGTATCTTCGCACCCTACCACCTTCCATCGGAGCATATAGTATTGCCGATAGTAATGAAAGACCGTGACTCCCTGCGAGGCTGGTTGTATGTGCGTCTCCTCTTCGATGGAATAAAGAAAACTATCAGTTCAATAAAGCTATAAGGTCATACTTCGAAATACTCAGTTGACGTAGATCGTGTGAATTTCAAGTCAACAATTTCTGTAATGAGGGAAAGAGGACATTTAACTAGATTTATAGGACAGAACTGATTTGGCTATCGGTCGTTAAATTTTAGTACATAGATAGCTTAGCGTTAACGTATTCTATTTTGATACCTGATATTGAAGTCCCTGTGGCATCCCCAAGATTATAGATTAAAAGGAGCGCCTGCGACTTCACGACGCTGTGGCGCGTCTTGGCTATGACCTATGACAAGTAGACTCGTAATGCCAACACTAAAACAGATGATTTGTTTCAGTTATTTAAATTCAGCGCCTACGTTCTATATTTGGTATCACGGAGCAAAAGATTCAAAGCCGGAAGTGTATTCAAATTTATGAATACGCAGGTAAATATTTTTTTAATGAATAAATTAAATATTAAGGACGCTGGGATTTTGACTCATTGTGACGCAAAACTTTTATGTTAATACAAAATTGAAAACAACAAGAATACATTAAAGGTCTATGTGTATAATAAAAATCAAAGCGCTGGATATAAACTTAGAAATGTAGTAATTTCAGAAACTTAGTGTATGCAATAAAGGTAAGGTTTCGAGTCAGTTTACACGCTTAAATTATTTGTCGATAAATATTCAAAATCAAACATAGGGGGATCCATCAGATCAGACACCTTTGGCTCTAACATTAGCAAGGGACATACAGCTCTAAGATTAGGAGTAGGGACCGCGGTAAGCATACTTGTCGAACTCTGCAGAGTTCGACGTGCAACCTAACATCAGCCCGCTGAGTGTCTCACCGGATGTTCTCAGCGGGACCCTAATGCGTTCCGGTAGTAGATTCATTCGCGAAACAGCTACTCTTGAGTCGTTAAGTCTCCTTTGGAGGCGCGCGGGCAGCTGTTAGCAAATCCCACCCCTCCTGGTTGAGCCTTTGCTCACCCACCTGCCCTGGTAAAACTGGAAAGGCCTCCGGGCCTCCAGTAACTTCTCAACCATAAAAAACTTTCATATAGTTCTAGTTGCAGTACCTTTTCTTAGTTTTTTTTTTTGTGTCTAACGATAGTCCCGTAATAACACGCAGCTTAATTGTATTTGTTTTGGCTAAACTACTTTACGGTTTAATCGCATTTAATTTTCGACAATTCGAATACTTTACAGCTCTCTGTCATTCACTGCGGAATTTATCACCTATTCAAATACTGCAATGTGTAGTTTATTCGTTCATCGCTCATCGCTCATCGTTCATCGTGAAATTTTTCGATGTAAATTCCCATTTAAAAGCTTTAAACTACTCTTCTCCTTGTGGAATAGCATATATTATGGAATTCAAATATTAAAGTTCCTTGTTTATGGCCTAATCTCACGTTTATTATTTTCATTATAATAATACCAATGTTTCTGTATCTGCCTACATATTTCTATTTAGTTATAACGCTAAATGTTAAATGAAACAGTAGAAATTTCACTAGTAATAATAACCTAATGATTAAATTTTTTATTGTTGGTAAAATCTTCTGTTTCAAGCAGATTTTTTGAAATATAAGAATAAACTAGCATGTGTATTTTTGATTAACAAATTGAAGGCGGGTGAAATTGCGAAGAAACGTTGTTGTCTAACGAAACGTAAATTTACTTACGAGCTTGAACGTTTTTCTTTCTTTCTTTTTTGTTACCTTTTAAGACTTAACATTTGAGGTATCTCGGTTATTTCAAATACTATTCTATAGCAATAAATACTCTTTGAAATTCGATAAGTTTTAGATTATTATTGTTTTTGTTCTCTGCCTTAAGATATTTTGTGTACCTACATAGTTTGACAATAGCTGTCCGCTTCCTTATTACAATACTCGTAGCAGGCGCGGGATACGAAATGGGTTTATTTAACGTAGTATTTGGCGGTAGTCACAGCGGGACTTAACTAGTTTAACAAGATAAAAACAGAATCATTTTCTTATATTGCGCCTTCGGTTATAAAATGTTTTTTTTACAATGGAAGATACAGTTTTAGGTTACAAAGTTTGAGCGACGAGAAGTTGTTTATAACTCAATTCGTTTCACTTTTTTGACGTATTTTTTAAATTGGTAAACTTTATAATTGGGTTTAAGAGTAAAGCACAGGCAGAGAGGTTTTTTATTTATTTTGAAAATCTAAATAAGAAATGAATAAAAACAATTAAAATTCGTTGAATTGTACAAAATACGCAAAAACAGCCCCGAATAGAAATATTTTAACCTTTTTCCCTACCCAATTGTTGGTAGCCTAAGGGGCTATTCCAATTACGCGCAGACGGTAGGTGAGCTCACAGCTCACAGCTCACCTGGTGTTAAGTGGTTACTGGAGTCCATAGACATCTACAACGTAAATGCGCCACCCACCTTGAGTATAAGTTCTAAGATCTCAGTATAGTTACAACGGCTGCTCTACCCTTCAGACCGAAACACATTACTGCTTCACGGCAGAAATAGGTAAGGTGGTGGTACCTACCCGCGCGGACTCACAAGAGGTCCTAGCACCAGTAATTACGCAAATTATAATTTTGCGGGTTTGATTTTTATTACACGATGTTATTCCTTCACCGCGGAAGTCAATCGTGAACATTTATTGAGTACGTATTTCATTAGAAAAATTGGTACCCGCCTGAGATTTGAACACCGGTGCATCGCTCAACACGAATGCATCGGACGTCTTATCCTTTAGGCCACGACGACTTCAAGTGAAGTGTAAGATGGAAAAAAAAACATTATATCGAGGGGCGAAAGACTTTATTTTAAGCGACATTTATTTTTGTTATTAAAGGTCCGTTTCATTTGGTATTAGCATTCACAATTCGATGTTTATACCTGGATTTCAATTAAGTTTACTCCATTCAAATAGTTAAAGAAGAAAACTTCTTGTTATGGTATTTTTTTCAAATTTTAATCGTTACTATAAATTGTGGCATTTCGAAGTTCAATATAAAATGTAATTATATTATAACATTATTAAATAATCATAGATAACTTAGTTAAAAATATTTTTCTAAATATGTACACCTTTTAAATTGAACTAAAAACTTATTACTCCTTATTTCCCTGTATTGTCGTCCTATTCTGAGTCATATTAAAAATTTCAAGACCCCATATCATTAAAGAAATTACTATGAATTCATTTAAAATTTCCATTTTAACATACTTGTACATATGATACAAGAGATCAGAATAATAAAATTGTTTGTATAAATGAACCGCTTTTTGCAGACCTCGCTGAGATTGAATTGGGTTCTTAAAAATGTAGTTGCGTTAAGAAACGCTGTACAAAACAACGACGCAATGTTTGGAACTTTGGACACGTGGTTATTATATAAATTGACAGGTAATTATGCTTAAAGCCTTGAAAACCTTAGGAGTAAGAAACACTGACCTTGTTAATTATGTTGTTTTTAATTATTTTTCACCTAATTAATTAAATTAATTATGAATTTAATGTTTTTTTTATGTCAGGCTACGTATCATACGGGGTGTAATTTAAATAATTTAATAAAATTTAAACGCAAATTAAAATTTGATGATCTTAGATTGTATGCCTAAAGCATAATCTTTACTAGCCTAAAAACTAAAAACGAATTATTGGGACATCGTATCGTATCGGACTGAGTAAACCAAGCCTTAATATAGAGTGTTTCGCTCCATCGGCAATCCACTCAAATCAAGCTTTAACTAGAATCTACACGTCTCTATATCTATGAAGAATACTCGGGATTGTCAATCAATTTATGTCTTGTTTATTGTCAAATCATTTTAGCCAATCCGTCATAAAGTCAAGAAGCTCCGTTGATGGCACGTTGAGCTCAAGATTAATCTCTATTGAAATCGTTAAGGGCCACATTAGCGCGGCGATCTTTATTGTGTCCATAAACTCTGATAACCATTTAACAGCAGGCAATCTTTAGGTTATGTCCGGCAAAAAAAAAACAACAATCGGTCCAGTGTCAGCGGTTGAATTTGTAATTTATATAACAACATTGAAATGTGTTTCTATGGCGGTAGCTATCATACAAGACCTTATGAAGAGAGACCTATGCGACCTTAGAACTTATATCTCAAGGTGGGTGGCGCATTTACGTTGTAGGTGTCTGTGGGCTCCAGTAACCACTTAACACCAGGTAGGCTGTGAGCTCGACCACCCATCTAAGCAATAAAAAAAAAATACAATACAAGATATTTGACAGATACCCGAATCTCGCTTACGACATTTTCAATATAAGCTTGCATAATACAAGTACCGAACAACAGCAGCCCACTGAGTTTCTCGCTGGTTCTTCTCAGTGGGTCGCGGTTCCGATCCGGTGGTAGATTCTGCGAAGCACGGCTCTTGCTAGGGTTCGTGTTAGCAACGTCGTCAGGTTTGAGCCCCGTGAGCTCACCTACTAGTTAAGGCGACGCTGATAGCCTCTCAAGGCTATCAGCTTAGGTAGGAAAAAAAAAACTTTTCGATAACTTAATGCTATTTTGTACATAAAATAATTTGTTGTGATTATTACCTATATGCGTATAATAGAATTCGCAAACATAAATTTTGGTGTTAAACACGATTCCTTTTTGTTCAGGTCAACGTATTCACATGACCGATGTTTCTTCAGCGTCGGCTACAGGCTTCTACGATCCGTTTACGATGCAGTGGGCCGGCTGGGGAACACTCTTATTAAATATTCCGATTTCCTCTTTGCCGACGGTCGTGGACACGGCCGGCGAACACTTCACCAGCACGGCGCCGGACATATGGGGTCATGCCATTCCGATCAGAAGCTGCGTGAGTAACCTCTATATACAACACACACACACACACACACACACACACACACACACACACACACACACACACACACACACACACACACACACGCACACACACGCACACCACACACACACAAACACACACACACAAACACACACACACACACCACACACTCACACACTCACACACACAATGTTTCGATCGCGATTCTTATAGTTATGTCGTTTCTCGAATCTACCCTACAACTTATCTTTGGGAAATTGCTCCAGTACAAGCAAAAATAAATTCTGAAATTTTTATCGTTCAACATACTCGAGGTAGATACTTCATAAATCATAGACACGAATAATACATATTATTTAACATCTTACCACACGTCGAATTTAAGACCCGATGTCGTTGTATGAACCTATTTTAAACAATAGCAATATCTACGCTATCTGTCGAAAGATAATTGCCAGGTGCTTGCAGACATTATTGTATCGCGGCCAGGAATATAAATAACATTGTATTTATGCAGAGATTGGTTGACATTTACATTATTATTCTAGACATGTTTATGTTTAACAATGACATTGTCTCGTTTTGTTAAGTTATAGGTATCCATTCCTACAGTATTTATTGAGAACCTTTGACAGCCTTTACTGTCGAATAAAAACTAACGAGCAACTGAGTTAAAAGTGATTGGTTATTGGCGCTAATGGACACCAAGAAACTGATATCGGGGTAAATTCCCTAAATAATTATAATTTGATTAATTGAATTCCCTTTAATAAATTCTTGAAATTAATATTCGCAGGAAGCTTGTGATAGTTTGCTCATTGGACTCCGAGGAGTTGAATTTCTTTTATGAAAATACATATATTATGATATTTCAATCATTTTTTTTTTGGTTTTTACTAGACATTATGTTATGATCCGCCGTTGTCGGTCCCAAGCCCGAATGAGAAAGGAGGAGGGTTGGTGTGGACGAAATCTACCCATGCAGCAAAACAGTCAACGCCGAATATCGGGCGGCGGTAACTAACCCGACATCCCTGAGCGGCCCTAGCGTCCCTGGGCGGTAATCAGTAACCGTGAGGACCTAAATACCCTCTAAAAGTCTGACGCGGAAGGACGTGGGAACCCACCGCGATTACCTTCCCAAGAAAACCCCCTTATGGAATCAGTAACAACGAGAGTGAATTTGTTGGGCGNCACACACACACACACGCACACACACACACACACACACACACACACACACACACACACACACACACACAATGTTTCGATCGCGATTCTTATAGTTATGTCGTTTCTCGAATCTACCCTACAACTTATCTTTGGGAATTGCTCCAGTACAAGCAAAAATAAATTCTGAAAATTTTATCGTTCAAAATACTCGAGGTAGATACTTCATAAATCATAGACACGAAAAATACATATTATTTAACATCTTACCACACGTCGAATTTAAGACCCGATGTCGTTGTATGAACCTATTTTAAACAATAGCAATATCTACGCTATCGGTCGAAAGATAATTGCCAGGTGCTTGCAGACATTATTGTATCGCGGCCAGGAATATAAATAACATTGTATTTATGCAGATATTGGTTGACATTTACATTATTATTCTAGACATGTTTATGTTTAACAATGACATTGTCTCGTTTTATTAAGTTATAGGTATCCATTCCTACAGTATTTGTTGATAACCTTTGACAGTCTTTACTGTCGAATAAAAACTAACGAGCAACTGAGTTAAAAGTGATTGGTTATTGGCGCCAATGGACACCAAGAAACTGTTATCGGGGTAAATTCCCTAAATAATTATAATTTGATAATTTGATTAATTGAATTCCCTTTAATAAATTCTTGAAATTAATATTCGCAGGAAGCTTGTGATAGTTTGCTCATTGGACTCCGAGGAGTTGAATTTCTTTTATGAAAATACATATATTATGATATTTCATTCATATTTTTTTTGGTTTTTACTAGACATTATATTATGATGACAGCTTTCGTATGGTCACAGTTCCAAATTCAATTTCAAACAAACTTGTCGTAGATTCGAGATTTTTATTATCATGCTTAATTTCTCAAATATGTGAACTTTAAAAACAAAATAGCGAAACTCCTAAATGAACTAAATTAAAATGGAACGTACACTGTCAACCCCAGCTAATCTAATACATCACTCATCATCATCAGCCTTATACTAGTCCACTGCTGGACATAGGCATCTCCAATTGCACACGATCCTCGGCTTCTCTCATTCAGCTTTTGCCAGCTACTCTCACAAATCAATCCCTCTCATCTAATATCTTCTACACCATATTTCGTAACTATTGTTACACGCTGGGGTTCGGGATAAATAAAATTCTACCAAAGTATAACCAAAAAAAACTGTATTCAACACTTAGAACACTTAAAACACTCAACAAACACTTTAAAACTCTCAATTCTCTTGTTCCGCTTCGCTTCAGGTGATCCGTTCGCTGTTTCGCTTCGAGTAGTTCCGATTACTGACTGACTGCGTGCCATCTCTACAACGATTTTTTAGCCGGATACCTCATCCCTAGAATTATCGAGAATATTCCACACATCTCTAGTAGTAGTTTCCGCTATCTGACAACAGATGGCGTTGTACTTCTCGAGCATTCTAGGTGCTACTAGGTCCTTCGATATTCGTTCGACTATTCGGCGATAGATGGCGTTACTCTTACCGGCGTAACTAAGAATGGGTTTAAAACTAATAATGTTCATATAGATGGCCGATCAAACGGCGTCGATGTGGGGCTCGTGTTGTTTTGACGTTGGTGACATCAAACTGACAATGGGAACGGGGACATTCTTTAATATAAACACCGGATCTGCGCCTCACGCCAGCGTGTCCGGCCTGTACCCGGTGGTCGGCTGGAGGCTCGGCGACGAACTGGTGTATTCCGCGGAAGGAGCGAACAACGATACGGCTTCTACAATTAAATGGGCACAAAATTTAGGTTGGTTTTGGTTAAATTTTATACATAACTGTACCGCTGTACCCGTCCGCTTCGCTGGGCATTTAAAATTAACATTATTTCTCACCCCCACAAAGATTCTCATCATTAACGCCCCCCCAACCGGTGTAGGGAGTCCAACACTCATATAAATATTAACCTATCCATTAAGTACATGTATTTTCTACATGGATACCAAGTTTCAAGTCAATCGGATGCATGGTTCAGTAGTTATAACGGAACATCCGTAAAAACCACTGTAGATTTGTATAGATATATTACACATATATCGAAGGGCGAAAGCGTCACTTCGCTTAATACGCGACATTTAACTTTGTAATTAAAGATGCATTTTGTTTTGCTGGTGGCATCAACAGTTCGATGTTTTTAATTGAACTTTAATTAAGTTTACTCCATTTAAATAGTTGAAGAAGTTTTTTTAATGTTATTCCCCCCCCCCCTCTCCCTTTACTCCTGTAATGTTGCAAAAATGTCGCTTAAACCAAATAGCCTTTCACCTCTCGAATATGTTTTATACTATTCTACATGTATACTTATTTAGGAAGTACCCAAAAAATAAACCAGTCAAGGCGGTGTGTTACAATTATATTCATCAACATTTTATATTCCGGTAATTTGATAAATAAAGTAAAATCTGTATGTGTTCGAGGAAGGAAAACAATTAAAAGGATCATAGCAATCTCGCTAAAGTCTAATTGTGTAGATATACAAGTTCTGGGTAGTCTTCAGGCCGTGGGTGCTCTGTGCAAGTGCTCATTAGAATATTTTCCCTTTATCGTTTCGTAAAAGCATTTATTTCAGCCGAATAATATTTTACAACAAAACAATAAGAAATCGTGTAATGAATATTTTACTTCATAAATATATATATTTTTTAAACGATTACGTAATAAGCCAGACTGTTAAATCCATATTATTATAACCTTGCTAAGTCAAAGTATAAAGTAAACATTTAAACTTAAGTTGATTAATTATCATTGCGTAGAAGTATGAACGAGCTCACTGCCCGTCTGGTGAAAAGTCGTTACGGGAGCGCATAGACATCACGTAACGTGAGTGCCGACGCGAGGTAGATGTTTAATTAATATTTTTTATGGTCATTTATTTTCAATGTACTGAAACGGTTTTATTAGTGGTGGTAGGACCTCTTGTGAGTCCGCACGGGTAGGTAACACCACCCCGCCTATTTCTGTCGTGAAGCAGTAATGCGTTTCGGTTTGAAGGGTGGGGCAGCTGTTGTAACTATACTGAGACCTTAGAACTTATATCTCAATGTGGTTGGCGCATTTACGTTGCAGAGGTCTATGGGCTCCAGTAACCACTTAACATCAGGTGGGCTGTGAGCTCGCCCACCCATCTAAGCAATAAAAAAAAATCAGTCTTTAAATTAACAATGATATATTTCAGGTTTATTTATCAGTCCGCAAGAGACTGCGGACATAGCTAATTCAGTAACGGATACGGATGGCGCGTTCTTCATTCCCGCTTTTAGTGGATTAGGGGTAATTCTTTTCAATTTAGATAATCACAAGTTTTAGTGCAATTCAAATTATTTGAATAATAACACAAAATTAACTGCAAATTGAACATATTGGGGAAATATTACATAATATAACGTCACACACCCCTGATTTAGTCAGTATTTTATCTTTTTCCTTATACTCCTAGTTCAAATTATCTTGTAATACAAGGCGTAAGCGGTCTGAGTGAAATTACGTACGTACATCAGAGTGATATCAAAGGTTAATCTATATTTAGGGTAATTTAGGTTAATCTATGTAATATTCAAGGGGGTCTTTTGCTACTCGATTATATTATCCTTCATAAAACCGTCATAGTGGCAAGCAAGGACGCGTTACTTCGTCGGTCCCCAAGACGACATATATAGCGCCTGAAAAATGAGGGGAAAGGAGCCTAGCGACATCAATCTCTTTCTGCCACGTATTGCCCTTGAACGATAAGGAGATGCACGCATTGACTTATGCTTTTTTTAAAAGTCCCATGACTGACTTATCATTTTGTGTGGCAGAAAAAAACCGTGTTCTTTGCCTCGGTGCGGGAGTCGACTATATCCACATTTCTATGAGTATAGGTATATTAAAAAACGGACTTTTGTGAGGCCTATATAGGTCTCATACGCACTGTAAACAAGTCCAATCTGGCCTCAAAAAGACCTCATATGTACTGGCTGAAAATCCCCCAAGAATAGTCCCGCAGTCAATCGAACGAAGCTCTAGTACAAAGGTAGTACAAAGGTTCCCAAACTTATTTTATCTACTGCCCACTTTGAGAGTAAAATATTTTTAGCGTCCCCATTTTTTACCTACTTAAAAACCACTATAGCGCGAGCTCAGTCGGTATCTAAGAGTCCTCCTAGATGAAATTACAATTCCCAAGCTTCTACAAAATGCCCCCTTTTTTTTTCTGGGTCTCTTACTGCCCCCCTTTAGGCCTGCAGCGCTCACAAGGGGGCGTTATCGCCCACTTTGAGAAAGGCTGATCTAGTATAACTGTTTTTTTTTTTAATTTTCGTATTATTTTCCAGCCCCCATATAACGACGGTACAGCCGCTTCCGGTTTCATAGGCATGAAGCCATCGACAACCAAAGCGCATTTGGTTCGCGCGTTACTAGAGTCATTAGCGTTTCGTACTGCGCAATTATATCAGTGTGTGCGTAATGAAACCGACTACACGTTTCATTCTATAAGGTGCGTCCTGATTTTTTTATTCTTGACAGGTAAATTATGAAATGAATACACTAAGTACAATTAAAACCTGTTCAGATTAATGGTAGATGTCGTCGTGGCCTAGAAGATAATACGCCCGGTATTACATACTCGATGCGACTATGCCGGTGTTCAAATCCCCCAAGCAGTGGCGTAGCGAGCTTAACTTGCGCCCGGGGTACAATACCTTTTTAGTGCCCCCATTTAGACTATTAGTGTTCCTTTTATCCCTTTTTATTTACGAATTAACATTAATTGTATTACCCTGGCATTAAATTTAAATATATTTTCCAGAAATAGCTTATATTAAAAATAAAATAAATTGTTGTTTTGCGGACCATTTGGCGCCCCTTTGTGAGTAGCGCCCGCGCCATTATGCCCTCCTTTGCTCCCCCCTCGCTGCGCCACTGCCGCGCAAGCAAATTTCAATGGAGTACGTACTTAACACGTGTTCAAGAATATCTTCCACGATGAAGGAATGACATCGTGTAATAAAGATCAAAGCTACAAATTAATTTTAAAATATGTAATTAGTATACAATTCAGTTATCACAAAAAAAAACCTTCCTTGAAACAGTAACCACGGAACTAAGTTTCAAGTCATTAAGGTAAACTGTCTTAAAACGCATAGGATACAATTTTCTATTTTAAATACTGAACTAAGAAGTTAAATTTTTATTTTCAAACAAATTTCAAATTTTTCTGTGTCTCCTACAACCATAACCATTGATATTTTGATAAATTTGGTGCTCAGTAGAATAAATTGTTTCAAATGTTTTACAGGCTAGACGGTGGTGTGTCTAACAATGATTTCCTCGCCCAACTGGTTTCGGACTTAACGGGTCTACGCGTGGAGAGACCCGTGCACGTAGAGATGTCCTCTTTAGGATGCGCGCATATTGTTGGACTACATCTAGGTATGTTATCTGTGTTGCTTCAACAAGAATAACGTATAAACATTCAATCTATACTTAATATTATAAAGAGGAAAGATTTGTTTGTTTGTTTGTTTGTTTGTATTGAATAGGCTCGGAAACTACTGAACCGATTTGAAAAATTCTTTCACTGTTTGGAAGCTATACTATTTCCGAGTGGCATAGGCAATAACCTTTTTTGAAAAAAATTTGGGATACTTACTAAAATCACAAAAATGTTACCCAAGGTAAAAAAAAATACCTAAAATATTCTTTACATCGCGTGCCCTGCGAAAATTATTGATGCTAGAATAAAATAATGTACTACGATTTTGTAGAACACCTTATTATAACTATTATAGTTATGCCGCAATAAGTGTTTTTTTATTAAAAAAAATAAAACAACGTCAAATAAACGTCAAATATCGTTGAAATTTTTGTTAAAGACCCGAGCGGAGCCGGAGCGGTCCGCTAGTTAGTAATAAGCTTACAGTCCCTCATTCATTCACTCACTATTCTTTCATTCATTCACTCTTACTGAATTACTTTGTTGTCATTTTTTCAAATATAAATTGATTCGAAATTAATTCCGTTGGTCATGTGAGATATGAGATATCAAGTTAAAGTATCAAATATAGTTAAATAAAAAAAGGAGTTTATTGATTTCACCTCTAGCGGGCTCAAGGTACGCTGTATCGTTTGTTTGTTTTTAAATTTATATTTAGCAATGGTCTTTTACGAATATTGAATTTTACAATGTTCTGTTTCTGACAATTGTTCGCGGTAATAATTTAAGTGTCAGATATACAGTGGTGGTCATATAATTGAAAGTATAATTTCAACGTACAAGTGTTCGTAAAAAATATACACATTTAAAAATTAATAATTGCATAAAATATAAGACACATATCTTACTTTTAATTACAAAATGAGTCTTACACCTGTAGGAGTTTATTTAATGTTACTGGCCGCTTGGACGCCTAATTAGAAACATTTTAAAAAATCACCCATAGCTCGTTCTTTTTTTGAAACTGGAGAATTCCAAACAAAACATAAACATTGATAATATTAAAAAAAAATTACAGGTATATGGAAATCGAAAGAGGAACTAAAATCTCTAAGGAAAGTGGGGTGCGTGTTTCATCCACGGCCGCACGTGAAGAAATCTTACGAACACACGATCTCGATGTGGGAAGACGCCGTCACACGGATGTGCGGATGGTATTCAAGAAGCAATTCGTTGAAGTCAGTCAACGCTGTATCGGACTCCAGTGGTTGTGGAGTAATTCCTAAGAATAGCTTTAAACTGCTAAAGAATAACGGGGACGCAGTAAAATAACGTTGGCTTTACCCGATGCTCGTGCTCGTTGCGTGCATCGTGTTACACAGATGATAATATCACAGGGAACTTTTATATATACCTAAAGTAAATCAGTGTTGCCAACTCCAAAAGAAAATCACCTTGCTGCTTTATTACTTTACTTACTACTACTTTAGGAGTTGAAAATTAAAACCCAAAAAAAAACTACTTCGAAATCAACCTGCATACTTTAAAAGGTTTAATTATTGTTAATTAGGAATTGAAGGACGATAAATTCGTTAGTCGCTGCGATCCACGAATTAAATATCTTTGTTTCTGTCTAAATCTAATTTGGACGAGGAAAATAATGTGTTTTATGAGGAATAACTAACTTTGCTGAGTATAGAATCACAGAGTACGTGCTGGGGGTTGTTTTCGTACTATTCACAGAGCCTGTAGATTGGATTGACAGCTTAACCTAGCTTCATGTATGTGCTGTGGCAACTTACATTGTGTGTACTAGAACTTTCTTTTGCTTCTCATACTGAGAGATTATCGTCAAAACCAATATAAAATGCTTCTAGTAGTTGCCTAGAGGTACAACTCAGGTGTTAGTGAGCTTCTAGGCAGTCCACGGGCCAGATCAGGGTAGAGTGTTCAGCCTAATGACATATCAGTTTCGAAGATGCTGACAACTGGTTCACGAAAACGGAACCGGTTCCCAGACATAATGTAATTTCCTTAAATTTAGGGAAAAAATCACGATGCTGGCATCACTGAGTGAAATTAAGATAGCATTCCACTTAGCATTATATAAATATTCAGACGTTGGAATACTGAAACAATCTGGTAAATAGTTTTTTTTCGTCATAGTCCAATAGTTACAAAGCAAATCGTTCATTTAAATTGCTCATTAGTTTTTAATTATTAAAAAATATTGACTACGAGACCTGACTGTCGATATATTGTTACTACTAATATGTTTCGGAAGGCAAATTATGCTGTCTACTAATGTCCCATTAATTGTGATGTGTTAAAGTCATAGAGTGGCAAGATCCTTTTTTATTTNTTTTTTCGTCATAGTCCAATAGTTACAAAGCAAATCGTTCATTTAAATTGCTCATTAGTTTTTAATTATTAAAAAATATTGACTACGAGACCTGACTGTCGATATATTGTTACTACTAATATGTTTCGGAAGGCAAATTATGCTGTCTACTAATGTCCCATTAATTGTGATGTGTTAAAGTCATAGAGTGGCAAGATCCATTTTTATTTTATTTTGCACAGTATTTATATGTTATACACTTATTTTAAGAATATTGTTTTTATTTAACTAGCATTAGCCCTTTGTTGTTTTCTAATTTTTTAACGTTAAATTAACTATATGACAAGAAAATCTTTGAGATGCTAAATTGAGCTTTAAACTGCAGCAATAAATTCTCTATAGTACATTGTGCACCAAGGGAGAAAAGTAGGACATTTCCTCCTGGGGTGTAGTAAACACGCGGGGTGAAATGTCCTACTTTTTCCCCGCGGTGCACATACTATTTTTTCTCCTACCAGGCCGAAAATTCGTGGAGTACCGAGCCGGGGTCCAGGGGCGAAGCCCTGGCAGGGGTAGGGGGAGCGGACCCCCCCCCCCTTACTCATAAAAAACAATTTAACTGTTTTTTTATTTTTTAAATAAACTACTACTAATTGAATAAGAACTGTCTGATGAACTCATCTTTGTTTAATACTTCACTATTAAATTTTATTGCCTTTTGTTTATTTCACTTTTACACTAAACACAATACTGCAAATTACCCGAGCACAACAATGGCGGAGAATTTTAGGTGCGTGAGAGCAGACGTAGACACTAACGCGCATGCGCACTTTTCAGTACCCAGGGAGGAAAGTTAGACTTTCTTCTCTGTACAGCGGGAGGAAAACCGAACTTTCGGCGTAGGTAGGAGAAAAAATATGTTTGATTCTGCCAAAAATTGGTTAATATGCTTTATTGTTTTGTTAATCATTGATTTTTTTATATTATTATTTTACCGGTATGGTATGGTAGGGAGTGCTGTGCTACACGGATAGTTAGCATCATGCTGTCGATTTTCAGTAACCACTTAACAACAGATGGGGTGTGATCTCGTCAACATCTTATACAGACAAAGTACAAGCGTAAATGCGTATTATGAATAATGTATTTAATGTGTATCTCAAAAAGATTCATTCTATTTTTTTATTGCTTAGACGCTGGGTGGGCTTGCAGCCGATCTGGTATGAAGTGGTTACTGGACTGGCCAATAGACGTAAAAAGCGTAATTTACGTTATAGGTACCTTGAGATACACTTCTGTTACAGTTTTATAAGAGTTTGTGGAAATCGGCAACTTAAATTACATAACTACGCTTGAAAGGCAAACGTGACTAATCGGCAATAACTGCCTTATACATAAATGATAGGCAATAACCATATCCGATGCGCAAAAAAATATATTTCTAGGTCTATTAAAATCATTTCAATCCTACAGCTAGATTCGTTAAAATAGATTTTTTTTCAGGTATTTCAACTTTAAATTAGTCTACTGTAAAGTTCACGCATTGTCGCTTAGTCACGTTTGCCTTTCAAGCGTCGATAACATAAACATTATAAAGGCGCGTCCAATCTAACGATATATCCAGAAAGTTCGTCTTGCATCCGCAGTGTGTCCGTAGCTTTAAGTATTGAGACTAAGGAGCCCAATTATAAAAGTAATCCTTCTTGATATAACTTAATATAATGTGACCCTTATAATTTTTCAAATAAATATGTTATACATTATTAATATTTTACGTGAATATAATTAAAGAAACTATATGCCAATGAAAAGCTATGATGTTTTAGAAATATTATTTTATGTACGGGTATTAATTTAGAGACATAAACAACCAAACCAAAAAATATATTGACTAAACAACGCCCCTTTGAAATTCTACAAATCACTACTTAGTATAAAACAAAGTCGCTTTCTCTGTCCCTATATCCCTATGTATGCTTAAATCTTTAAAACTACGCAACGGATTTTGATGCGGTCTTTTTAATAGATAGAGTGATTGAAGAAGAAGGTTTACATGTATAATAACATCCATTAAATCGTGGAGATATTAATAATAAATTACAGTTTCCGAAGCGAAGCTAGGGCGGGTCGCTAGAATTTCAATGGATGTGTTTCGTCGTTCAAGAATTCCGCTACCCACATTCGAAGTTCATCAGTTCTCTCTCTCTCTCTCTCTCTCTCTCTCTCTCCCCACCCCTCTCCCTCTCTCCCTCTTTTTAACAACAAATTTAGTAGGTGAAGGTATTTTTAAGACGAATTGTTTTGGTGGCTTGTTATTATTATTTAACCCTAAATAATGGGTAGTTGTGGATTTGTTGTTGAGATAAGTATAGTACATTTCTATGTTAATTTATATGTTCCAGCTAGAAATTAGTCGATTTGTTTCGACAGGCATGCATCAAAGCTAATTGAAACAGAAATGGATAATAAATTAAACAACATAATGTTAATTTCTTTACCAAAGATATCAAGTTAAAATAATAGCTGTAATCGTTGCCTTTTCGGATAAGATATCTTCAAATTTTCATTTATTTAATATCTGTCCATATGTAATAATAATCCATCTTCCTCAGTTTATTCCATTTTTTCAAATATGCGTAACGTGAATAATGTTCATGACTGCTCACGAATGCTCAAGTCAAGGTTAGAAGCCAATTTGGGCGACTGTACCTTTAATATGTTGCTCATGTACATGTGATTAAAACAATAGTACCTACTCAGAAACTTTCTAAAAATCATTTAAACTAGGAAATCAATGGTGGTTGTTTTAAATATAATCAGTTTAAATGTAAAAAAAATTGTATTATAAAAACGTAAATAAATTATTTTATACTACATATAAAACGTGTTTTATTTTGAATCAAAACTACGTATTCTCGTGATTATAATAAATTCACTTAATGTTTAATAAATTAAATTGTGTTTCAATATATGTAACAATATTTCTATTTAACATAAACCGTTACATACAATGAATATAAAAAAAAAGTTGATCCATTAAACTTTTCATTATTGTAATCTTGTATATTACTTTTATGTAAATGTTGAAATATATGAGAAAAAATATATGTACCTAACATAAAAATGTTTGTGTAAAATCTTGAAATTTTTTATCTAAATTAAATTAAGAAACCGAACGTTGGAAACTCAATTTCAGATCATGGATATTGTATTAAATAATCTTTATAGTTTTATTAAATTTAAAATTATCATAATACTTCTATAGGTTGAAAAACATAATTTTATATTTTACTGTAAGACTGGATTTTAGAGGGCTTATTAAAAAATAAAATTATCCGAGATAATTAAACGTGACGTATTTTAATTGATACAGCAAACATACTATATTTAGATGCTACTAAGTAAATTTTCTGCCTTGGCAGCTTTTGTGCGAAAATCGTAGAATCTAAGAAGTACTACTGAATTTCAATATTCGAACTACTACCCTACCAAGTGCTGTCTATCAAGTGCTCTAGTCTATGTAACCAATACTCGGACGACAAATGTTTTACACTTAAATTTATCTAATTCACCGGAATTTCTCGAAAGCGAACGTAATCGTAGCCACAATGTATCCAAAGAGCAACAAACAGAATGGTATGCGTTGATCTTGCATTGTTATCTTCGAGAAAGTTCGAGGTTCGACCTTTTGGTCAGTCCATTTCTGCGTACGACCTAACGCTTGTGTTGTCCAACGATAATACGCGTTTGGCAGGCCCGCTTCCAGCAATCGCTGTATAAATATTCGCAGTTGTTTCGTGAAAGGAAATCCTGTGTACAAAACTTCGATTTGTTATTAGAAATACAGGGCGGGGATAAGGATATTGCCTTAAATGAGGTCTTATACTAGTCCTTGTAAATACTAAAATATATTTACGAAAAACTGATATTACAAAAAAAAAAGGAAAATAAACCGTTGTTGACCTTGACAAATAATGTTAAATTTCTTTAGAATTGATCTATTATTCAAAATGTTCTTGGTTAGCATACAATTTCAACGAAGGAAGATTTACGATCAAACTTCAAAAGCAGTCTTTTTTTTTTTTTGGTCCTGAGGAAATCGCCGGTCTCCCCCACCCTCCACTAGGAATGGGGTATGTCGGAGTCGAACCGACTAAAACCTCCTGTCGCTCAACAACCCACGTCCGAGCCTCGTATGAGACAGAACTCATGAAAAGGTAAAGGAGGGAAAGTGAAGCGTTTAGTGCGGAGCACACCTCTCCTATCACCCTCCCCCTCGGGACACCGGGCTGGCGGTCGTCGGCGCCACGACGCGTTAGAATGGGTTATCCTACGAAATACCCCGCTGGGTCAGAGCCAGCGTGGGTCGAGGATAGCGGGCCTTCCATCACCCGGATGCTGTTGCACTCTGCCGTCGGCTCGGCTCCGATCCGGTGCAGGAACTCACCGAAGCAACCATGCTCAGTGAGCACCTGCGTGAGCCGTGAGGCGTCCTCTGTCACGATTCACCCAATCCACAAGGACCGGGCGAATCGCCTCGACGGTCCTACGACCAGCCGAAGGATCGGCCAGCCAGACCATGACTCTAGCTCAAAAGCAGTCTAAGCTGTTATTTTGGTACTCTGAATAGCTATAATAGTTAAGAAAGTGAGTGCAATCTTGGGCCATGGAGAGGAATTTGTCTGGCCCGCCTCAAAGAGGTCAGTGATAGTTTTTTATAATTTACATAGATTGACATATTTAAGGTAAAATGAAATAAAAACGATACTCACCGAATTTCGAGATATATGATAAATAATATGAATCGAAACATTGATCAACCTGGTATACCAACGGCGTTCCATTGTCGGACAAATAGTTCAGTGATATTTCAGTGATCACGTCAGTTTTACGGCCCAGCGTCACGCTATCCTTAATTTTGAGTATTACACCTTTTTGAAAAGAAAAAATATTTCGAAATAAAAAGGTGTTCTTTGAACCTATTGCTAATAGACTGAACTTCCAGACTCTAGATCACTCCCTCAATAACACTAAGACTGGACTAAATGGGTGGAAAAAGCTTTTAGTTTGTAAAGATAGCGTATGAAATTTGACTTTCAGAATCTGTCTGCTTAGTGCGAGCTTTTAGCGCTCCCGATAGCATTGGAACGTATGCTTACGTTTGCCGCTAGGGGCGCTGTTCCAACTGCATACAAATAAGAGTTAACTTTTACGCTATCGCGAACGTAAAAAGCTCGCACTAAGCACACTGAGATCGAACTTAAGCTATAAAATACTAGTACTAGTATTTATTTGACGAAGTATCAACTATTAGGAGCAGTATTTTCAGATGAATACATCTAGTTCCATAAACTTATACATTTACAAAACATAAGCTTACTACGATACATAGCTTGAATCAGCCTACCAATATCTGTCGGCAGATGAAGTTTCGTTTTCTTCAAAAACGCTGCTTGCATAGTGTTGTTCGGATTTTCTAGTGGCCTTAAGAGATCTCTGACTGACGCTGAAGTATACAGAACGTTGTTCGAGGCATATAACTCCTGAAGAGTTTTTATTTTTGGGTATCTGGTGAGCGTAGTGAATCTAAAGTTGATATGCCCCTTAAATATTGAATAAATGTCAGAAATCACATTGAGGTTCCTCCACGAAACAAGTGTCCTAGCAAGTTCAGTTCACAGATATTTGACTTAATAGATACTAGCGACCCGCCGCGCCCTCGCTTCGCTTTGGAAACTGTAATTTATTATTGATTTCTCCACTATTTAATGGATGTTATTATACATATAAACCTTCCTCTTCAATCACTCTATCTATTAAAAAAAATGCATCAAAATCCGTTGCGTAGTTTTAAAGATTAAGCATACGTACGGATATATGGGCAGAGAAAGCGACTTTTTTTTATACTATGTAGTTATTTAACAAAAGTGCATGTTTTCTTCACATACTTAAACAGTTAATATGTCTTTCTTTACTGATGGTAAGGTGTCTGGTGATAACGCATGGGTAGATTTTATTTTATTGCCCGTGTAGGCAGACGAGCATACGGCCCACCTGATGGTGAGTGGTTACGGTCGCTCATGGACGTCAGCAATGCCAGAGGCAGAGCCAAGCCGCTGCCTAGAAACCACCACCCTGCCGGTTCCTGCCACGAAGCAGCAATGCGTTTCGGATTAAAGGCTGCAAGAGACATTTACATTTTCTATTGAGACTTAGACCAAATATCTCAAGAAGGGTTGGCTGCATTCACGCGGTGATATATATGAAGTCCGGTAACAATGGCCGTGAGCTGGTTCACGCGTCTAAGCAGTTAAAAATAGTTCTGATACATTAAAACAAGATGTATAACTTACTTGATAAATCGCCAAAAAGACAATTGAAGCACAAAGGCAGCCTCCCCGTAGAATGCAGTGGTTTGATTTACGGCTCAACGAAAAGCCGAGTAGCATGCAAGCGAAGTAGTCGTAAAATAAAATTTTGAAACTATTTTTCTCTTTAAGATCCTTCTTGGATGATTGTAAAATTTTAGTCACAACAGCTACAGTGAAAATAATTGCTAATATTAACAGCCACGACTTTAGGTCCAAATCGTTAAGCGGATAATACCAAAGAGGGTGTGCCTCTGGAATCGACAAGACTGCACAGAGAGAATCGTACGATATAAAATATATATAATTAAACCGCTCATCTGTATAGGGTACCATGAACCTTGAATTAAAAGAAATATCTATTTTGCCATTGATTACGCAACCGAGACTCCCTGTTACTGTACCCTTAACTCTATTCATATAACCGTATCTATCGCAATTCTTATCCCTGGAAAATATAGTATTAAATTTAAAATATTTCAAGGTATCCTGCATTATCAATCCATCGGAACCGCAAAAACCATCGGTAATGTCTTTATTGTATGGCACGTAATAGTGAATTTTATCACATTTAGTGATAGAAGTTGGAAATCTGTTAAACATCCCAGCTCTAAGGGGATACCCTTCCGATAATTCTTTTCCACTATCGCTAATGTATTGAAATAGTTCAGTAAAGCTTCTCGGTTGAACAAGCTTGATGGTTCTGTCATATAAACTTGCGTTGGTTTTCTGTTTTCCATCATAAATTACGTATGTGTTGGGGCAAGAAACAGGGAATGTCATTATGACATTTATCAAGGTGTGTGTATGCCAAATGTCGTTGAAAAATTTTTGTATGCGCAGAAGCCCATCATCTTCAAGTTTTCCATCTACACATGTCGTACTTGTTTCATTCGATATTACCACAATGAACACGAAGTTCCAGTGAGATCTAAAAAACACTTTTAATGAAGAATCATTGAGGTAGTCTTGATTTAAGCCTTTCGTTAGCATTACAAAATTCGGTTGATTTGTAGTTCTTTGTTTATTTGGAGGCTTTTCTTCAAAACCACGTAGCAATAATATGGATTGGCTTCGATGAATTTTCTTAAGAAAGCAATCGGTCAGTTTTTCGTCTGTATCATTGTCGGCAATAAAAAATATTGTATGAAATACATTATTTTTAAGTACACTCATACAAGAACTATTTTCCGTGTCAATTGATATATTGTAAGAGTTTGAAATTCCAATACCCAATAACAACAAGAAAACTTTAATACAAATCTTCAACATGTTAAAATTTCTTTTCCACAACATATTTTCAATAAATCAGACGACCGTTCGCTTCGCCCATAGGATCAGAAAACAATTTTACTTAAACCAACAGAAAAATCGTTACTTAAACATTCATTGTGTTTACTTTTTCGGTCGTTTATACAGATAGTTCAGTAAAGCAGAAGTTAAAGAAATATTTACGTTACAAATGTTTGTTGATCAACATATTGGACAGGACACTCCTTTACGAAAAGAACTTTTTTTATCGAAGTGAATGCTGTCGAAAGTAAATCGCTTCCTCGTATTCTGATTGAATCTTGTTTTTGTAATAAACAATTCTGTTCGAGGTTAGGAAATCACATTTTAATGTTATTGTGTTAAATAAAAATGTAGTATGTGTTTGTTTTTTTAATTCGCACCCGTGAACACCGCATAATACGTTCTTTTGAAATTATCACATCTTGATAAAAACGATACACAAGGTTTTACTATATATTTCATGGTCTCAAACGGTTATAACCATTTAGTACTTGAATTTATTAAAAATAATGGCTAATGTGGCAATTACCATCATCTTAATATTTTTGCTTACCAATAAATTCTCAAAGGCCTATTATGTGTTAGACGGGCTTGTATTGAATCCAGAAACTTTGAAGATATCATCTAATTATATCCGAAAAAGCAACGATTATATCAATTCTAATCCCTATCAATTTCGTGATGAACTTAAGTTATTTAGTATATTATCCATTTTTGTTTCAAATAACTTTGATAGATAACAGAAATTTTAAAATGAACCCTATTTCTTTAGTTACAAACTTGGAAATTGACAATTCAGTTTTACTGCATCACTTAAGTTTTTGTTTTGTATGTATCGCTGACTGGACGCAATAATGAACTACTGATAAAATAGAAAATATGTGAAGTCTCTCCAGCAGCTCACTTTTAAAGGAAGACAAGAAGAGCAACGTAGAAAACTTTTAAAGCCTAATCGTTTAATGGCTTTTAAATGTGTTAATCAGCTGCCTCAGAATATTATTCTGTAGTTCATTTAACTGTTTGTTTTAAAAAAAAATACACATAAAAACAGAATAAATCGAGTTTTATTTCAATTATGCTTTTTATTGCATAAACTCGCTCGCGGCCTACTTGTTGTTTAGAGCTCAGACCTCTGCCCGTCTAACTCTATCTAACAACTCTATCACCACACAATCCACAACTCTCATTCTCTAATCACAACGACAATTCTGCTGTTATTCACCATGAGCCATGACATCGTAGTGTCGAGCGTCCCACCCTTCAATTAGGAACGCTTGACTTCCCCGCCAGATGGTTAGATCTAGTTAGAGAAGCAGTTGGTGATAGTCTATACCATGCGGTCCATGCCACCCATTATCGAACACAGTGGAAGAACGTCACATGTGGTCGCGATCCTCAGTAGTGAGTGAACGATATAAAAGAGAGACATCTTCGCGGCGAAAATAGGATGGTGATAACTGCTCGTGCGAGATTACCAGGGGATATTTTACTTATATGTATAAACAATCAGTTAATGCCGGTCGACGATCGCAGTAATCTAATATTATTGTCAGAGAACACTGCTTCCACTTCCCATTCTTTCGCGAATCCCTAAGTCGCATTTAGCGATACTCCCAGGAAGGCTATTCTAAGCCACCAACAACGCACAACCAAATTAGTTATTTTTTCTATTTCCTAACAAAGGGTTTCCTGCGACTCCGGTTAAATTTAAAACAAATAATTTTTCGGATTTTTAGTGCTTGGAGCAGAAATTCACTTCAATTCAATTGTGCATCAAAAATGTGAACTTTGTAGTTTATTTGAGATAAAAGTATTGGCATATATGTGCAATTTAAAGGATATCTGCTTGTACAGTCCTTGCATGTCTCTCATCAAAAACATAGTAGTTTCAAGACAGAAAGAATTACTCCGTGGAGTGCATTCACGTAAAATTGGTGAGTCTCTCTCTGGGGAGGCTCTAGTAACTTTGTAACAACAGAAATGAGCCGATACTCGTTGCCCACAGCACAAAGAAAAAAACAAATAAGTACCAAACCATTTCAGCTTTTATAGATTTGACTTAGAAACTTATATGAATATATACTTATATGAATATTGAATAATATACGTAAGACGAAATTCAGACTTCAAAGTTATTTATTGAACACATAATTAAATTACATATTTTTGGTAACAATCGTATAGAACAGTCATTAAACATTAGCTTAATTATAAAATATTGTAATTCTTAATTGCCATTGACAAAAGAATAACTTACGCTCCACACGATCAGATTATGGACACTTGTAACGTCTATAAATAGGTTAGATTTCACTTTTGTCTTGATTCAGCACAGATTTTTTATCCAATCCATGTGGGCAGGATTTTGATTCTGCGTCCGTCCAAGCCTGATATGCCATCGTAATTTAAAGAGCCGAAGTCAGCAAGTAGATCATTGCTAATGCGTTCTTCACCAATCGCTGATCTTTTAACCACCTTGTGGGGTGCTTCGGTTGTTGTTGGAGATTCAACATACAAAACAACTTGCGGGATTTCGTCAATTATTTCGATCACTCCGAATACAGCAGGTCCTTCGTCAGAGACTGATACAGTTGTTGTTTCCGTTTTGTCTGCTTTTGAAGTTGGAGCAGCTTTTGCACTGGCCACGATTAAAGCAAAAAGAACTATATGTGCAGTTATTGCCATTTTGTATTTTATTCACTTCTGGTTCTCTTATATTTGTTAAATCTTTGATTTTCGTCGTATCCTTCCGGTGTTTCGTGCGTTTTGATATTGATGCCTTCACGGCATTGCATTTAGTTTATATACAGTTATGTTGGTATGTGCTAACAAAGAGTATCCAGAATTGGAATTCATTGACGCACCGTGTATCATACACGATAACTTTGTGTGTAAATATTCTCAATAACATAATGACCATGGATTTATTGTAAAATGTTTTGAAGAATCGGCTTCTAAATAGTTTGCTCTTTTAATACTGGTGAAGTATAAACATATTTGCGATACGATGAATCTATTCCGCTGAAAATAGATGACTCAATTTTATTATATCCTTATCTAGAAATATCTTATTTTATGTGCAAATAAAAATTGAAATAGTTCTGTTATGTTGTGAAATAAAATCGATTGGCCGTAAATATTATTGTAAAAAAGAGAAAAACAACAGACTTAGACATTTCAAGTTGATTTACATCTATTAATAAGTGGTTTTTTATCAACTACAAATTAGCTAATACATTATGTAAGCAGATGATATTATTGTCTTCCTGGAAAATAAAATTGCCCCACATTGTACGGATACGCGGCTTCCTGTCATCCAAATAAAATAAATCGGGATGCATTATTATTTTTCATCAGAAATACGTAATGTGGTGGTGTGCCCGGTCATCGTTCTCGTCAAGCCCTTCGTCGCAAGCGACGGGTTCGACGAATTAATTAACCCACAGACACAGCCCAGTGAGTTTCTCGCCGGATCTTCTCAGTGGGTCGCGTTTCCGATCCGGTGGTAAATTCTGCGAAGCGATTCGTGTTAGCAACGTCGTCAGGTTTGAGCCCCGTGAGCTCACCTACTAGTTAAGATTACGCTGAAATAGCCTCTCAAGGCTATCAACTTAGGTGGGGAAACAAAAAGTTGGTGTCTAGATACATTTCCACAATTACTTAAGATGAGATCTTTTGTACAGGAGAAAATCACCGGATCCCACATATCTGCTCGGATCCGGATACCTCACCAAAAACTCCTGCCGCTCAGCCGCTCAGCCGGCGCCCTATCTCGCACCGGGCCGGACCCCAGTCGGGGCCATTCGGACGACGGGACAGGGTTGACGCAGAGCATATCCCGCCGAAGATACGACCTAGGCGGTTACAAATGAACTGGAAAGCTACCGTTCAGGTTAAGTTAAGGACCGAGATGTAACGTGGATTGAAAAGTGCATTCTTTACTAGGTGTCCTAGGTGTCTAATAATATTCGGCATTACTCGTAATATGAAGATCTCTTAGTGCACGACGAACCGTTTTAACATACAAGACTTGCAGTAATAAACAATCGTCCGATACTTTTTTATGGGTGAGTGTCGAACCTCTTATACTCGTCAGACCCACGCCCAACTAATTTTCATTTTTCAGCAAGATGATACGCTGATGAAATTTCTTTAGACGCGTTGAGAGTAAAATTTAACTCGCGACAGATTCGTTACGGCTAGAGAGAAAAGATACAATTTAGGAAGAGCGAGAGTAAGAAAACAGACAGAGCGTCTCCGAGCGAACCACTCGACCGTGGAGAGAGGGAAAGGACAGAGCGAGCTAGGTCGTTTCCCTTATACACATACTACAAGAGAAATTTGATTTAAGGATGAAAAATGAAAAAAACTACAATACTACACACCGCAAAAGAAGTTTCACTTCGTTCTCGTACACCAAGTTGCACGCGCATAATTTTTCTTACTACAACAACAATTTACAATCGAAAATTTGGAATGAAGTTTGTGTTACCTTAATGATATAGTAACAAACCAGGAAGGTTTTCATGAATTCGCTTGATACGTTCACCGTATGTGAATTCAAAATTAATTTAATTTTCTAATTTACTGAGAATACGTACTATTTTACTATTTAATTTTAATAAAAAACTATTTATTATTCTAACGAACGATTTCATTGCTGTTTGTTTTATTCTATAATCGGTAATTGAGAGTTTTCTTCCGTAATATTTTTTTTCAATTCTGCCACGCAACTTGAGACATGAGGCATATGTTTTAATTGAACAGGAAGTACTTTAAGTCTCAAAGTGGGACAAACGACTGCGAGTAGAAATAGACAGAGTGGTGAACTCTGCCATACGGGCATACAATACGTTCAACCACTAGTCATTACATTCCAATTATTCTTTTACTATAATTTACTGGTGGTAGGACCTTTTGTGAGTTCGCATGGCTAGGTATCACCGCCCTGCCTATTAGGTACTGTCGTGAAACAGTAGTGCGTTTCGGTTTGAAAGGCGTGGCAGCCGTTGTAACTATACTGAGACCTTAGAACTCATAATTCGAGGTGCGGGGCGGCATCTACGTTGTAGATGCTTATGGGCTTCGGTAACCACTTAACACCAGATGGGCTGTGAGCTCGTCCATCCATATATGCAATTAAAAAAATCCTTCTTCATAGTAGTCATTCGTGATCGCGTAATAAGTATGTATTTTATTAAAAGACAATGCCTCTGCTCGCGAGCATTGAGGATTACTGAGCAGCTTATCTTTGATGACGAAGACCTTAACTTAAACAGCTTTATTAGGCGATCCGTGAGTTGATTTAATATTAAGTATCTCTAAAAATCCCTATACAATATTATATACAGCGGATACAGCGGATACAGCGGATACAGCGGATTCATCACGACAATAATATGCACGTACGAGATACAATGTATACAGCAATACTCGTTTTATACACGTCATCTCGGATCCTCCCGATCCACTAACGGTGCTTCTAGGTACTTCAAGCACCGATCACCGTTCTCGTCGAACCCGTCGCTTGCGACGAAGGGCTCGACGAGTAAATTAACTCTCAGACACAGCCCACTGAGTTTCTCGCCGGATCTTCTCAGTGGGTCGCGTTTCTGATCCGGTGGTAGATTCTGCGAAGCACGGCTCTTGCTAGGGTTCGTGTTAGCAACGTCATCAGGTTTGAGCCCCGTGAGCTCACCTACTAAAGTTAGGGTTACGCTGAAATAGCCTCTCAAGGCTCTCAGCGTAGGAAGGAAAAAAAAAACTCGTTTTATATGATGTCGATAAAGAGCTTTCCTGCCCATTAATCAACATCGTTTACTTTCAACGCTTATTGGGCGAAAGTTTATCAGTCGATTTAAATTATTTCCTCTACGAAATTAGGTTTAATAATGTTTATGCTAGTATTCAATAAAATCAGTTGAAATCACTTCTATAATATCACTTCTAGTTTGAAAATACTGTTCTGGCATGATCGTAACTGTATACCTAATAGCTTTTCACAATGCCGACAAATATATTTTTACATGCTATTGTTTAATGGGTTCTCGTGATCATGGTACTCACCACAGATATATCGGATACATCGGATACACGGATATATCGAGAACCTATGGTATGAGATAATAGTCGTAAGAACCCTTTAAATAAATAGTGTGTGTAATGTGATAGATAGCCGCGAAAATATATAACGTACCTATATTGTATGAGTCGTATTGATAATACAACGTGTTACTCCTTATTTTTAAAAGTCTTGTTAGCAATCGATCTCGTAACTAATGAAACAGTCACTTACCGATTTGTTTATAATGTTTCACATGAAAGATCGTGCGTCAATATTGTTACAAAAATAACAATGCGCATTATCCTAGTGTACATTATCAATATGGTATAATGTTTTGTGCAATCAAATAATCCGATATAAAGCAATGTGGTATCGTATCGGGTAATAGTTTGCAAATCGCAAAGCAAGATTGGATCGTACGGGAATGTATTCAGCGGTTTATTTCGTCGCGTCGCTGACGCTATTGGCGGTGTGCGCATGCGCCCCCGCCGACGCGGATGTGATCCAACGCATCCCCCCAAAACCCGAGCCAACACCATCAGCTACAGGAAAAGACGTTGCGGTATCTGGTGCTTTGGAAAGGGCTGCTGGTTCGTCTGATGCCGTGAAAGACAGACTTCGCCGCGAGTTGGTTGGTCAGGAGAGTGACTTGTTGCCTTCGCTTGGCGACATCGACGCGTCGCCTTTCGGAGAAAACTCTCAGTTGTCAGGTCGCAGCCGCATCAAAGTTCTTCCCGCGTTCCTGGGATAAGAAAATTGCCAATAACAAGTTGTAAAACTATAAATATTAACAGCAGGGAACCGGGTTATTGTGCAGTATTATTTTTTAGGTATGAATAATTAATACGTTGATTAAGCTTTTACTGTAATTGTACTTCTAGATATGTAACGTAATTGTAAATAACAATCGTTTTGATTGTAGAAATGTTTAGTTATAACAAACATAGTGTTTGATGTTATAAATAGTAATGTAAGTAAATAAAGTATTGATATATTAAAATAATCATGTATTTTACTCAAATTTCATATCGATTTACATATGATTGAAAAAAACATTATTTGTTTTTCGTTGTGTTTATTATTGTCAGAACAGGATTGTATGATAAATTTTTTCGGAAATTATTTGGGAAATTTATCACGTCTTTCACGATAGTTATAGCGGAGCGTAACCATGTTTTATGATAACTTTTAGAACAAAAATAATGTTGGTTTTGTTTCAAAAAAACGACAGTTACAGCCCACTGAGTTTCTCGCCGGATCTTCTCAGTGGGTCGCGTTCCCGATCTGGTAGTAGACTCTACGAAGCACTGCACTTAAAAGGGGTCAGTATTAGCAACTCTCCCGGTTTGAGCCTCGTGAGCTCACCTAAACGACAGTTTGATCTAAGAAATAACATAATATATGAGCGTATCCAAATAATTTGCTAAATAAGTAAAGGACAATCAAAATTCTACTGAACAAGCAAATTAGTATAATTAGTCGCATTCGGTTATATGTTCTTACGGATCCATCAGATCCAATAACCCTTACATTAGACGCCTTCAGTTCTAAAGCTAGGAGCGGACTAACGGGCCCCGGTAATCCATCATTCATAAAAAAGCATTCGGTTATAAACTCGTTTTTATTTTAATTGAAGTGGAAACTTTAACGTCAAAATAAATAAACATCCGAGTAGAGGTTAATTAATTATGTGTGACAAAATGATTTTTTTAAACAAAGATGAGTTCATCAGATAGTTCTTAATCAATTAGTAGGGTAATTTATTTAAAAATTAAAAAAACAGTTAAATTGTTTTTTTTATGAGTGCCCTTCAGCTCGGGTGGCAATTTTATACGCGGGAGGAAATGTCCAACTTTTCTCAATTGGTGCACAATGTACTGTTGAGTTGTAGGCAGACTCAATGATTTTAGCGATCAAAAGAGTTAGGTATACGATTGTTTTTATGAACTTTAATTGCCAATATCAAATAATCAATACACTATTTTTGCATTCGTTAGTTAAATTGGATAGCATAGTTTTTGTATGTTTTATGTAGTGCACGGTTGACAATGGAAGTGACCGTATTTTTTGCATCGTTTTTGGCAAATTGTTTTTTAGTGCGTTTTATTATATTGATTAAATATAATGTTTGTACGCGATATAATTATTTAAATTAATTAATTGTTACAGATTACTGTAGTCCGTTCAGGAATTTCACCCGTCCATGATTTCCGAGAGAAAGCTAATGCCAAAATTAGCGTAAGTAGCGAAAGATTAATATTCAACTCTCCGCACAATGTCTTAAAACATTTAGATAATACAATTTCCAAAGCTACTAAAAATGTAACACAAAACCCACAAATGGAGGAAAATCTCTACCAGATATCAAAGGATTTGGTTTCTGCTATTTTAACGAAGTTAGAAGTGCAAGACAAAATTACTAGGATTACAAGAGAAGCACTAGAGGCCTCCGGTAAAAATAAAGGGGTAACTGCAATAGAGACTAGACGCATCCTTGATTATATATCTAGAACATTGTCTGGACAAATTCTAAGCTTAACTAGAGCTTCGACAGAACCAGAGCTCCATCGTCTTGTTTACGGACTGGCTCAAATAGCAGCTGAAGTTTCAATAGTGTCGGCTCTAAAAGATATTACTTATGCTACTGCTTTATCTAAAAAGCAATCAGTAGATTTGTCACTAAGAAAAAAAAGATCATTGAAAGACGCACCTGAAAAATTAACAGCCACAACACCGAGTTCAGTTTCTCAAATTGTACCTACAGTGTATAATGCGATTCTTAATAAGTCACTTGATATTTCTCTCAAACATACTGGTTCTCAACTTGCATCATTGAGACAAAAAATGTCCGATATACCCAATTCACCGTATTCAGTAATATCTCGAAACGAAAAAAAAGCGCTACATATTTTGGATGTGAAGCATAGTGCTCCTACTTCTGTTAAAGGATTTTTAAATCAAACAGTTTTAGATTTGGAAAATAACAATGGAGATATTAATGATACAGAAGTTATAATGCTGGATAAAAAGATTAATTCAACCCATTACGAGCCAGCCGATGTTCAGACATTAGATGCACAAGAAATCAGCGCACCAGTGCTGACCGACGAATTTTTAGGTCCAAATGAAAATATATATAAACCGGCGTTGACTCCGGATGTTGTAGGTGAAATGGAAATTGATCAACCAGAGTTTGAGGATGAAGCTGCTAATGAAAAGAAAATGAAGCAAAAATTAGAAAGACTAGAAATCAAAGCTAAAAAAGCTATTGTTTATGCCGGTGACGTAGCATACTTAGCCGCAGCTAGTGTGGTTGCGTTAAGACGTGCACTGACTGCTTCAATTGAAGTTCAAATGTCTGTTCGTTTTGCTAAAAATGGAATGACAAATCATCAAGATCTGATGATGAATTTAGCTAAGACTGCAGCTCAACAAGCAGGTAAAGAAGCCAAAAGTGCAGCGTCTAAATCGTTGGCTTGTGAACGTGTGATCAAGCTAGCGTTGAAATATACATCGCAATCTCTTGGAGCGAATTTAAACCACGTGGCCAACAGGATCGTGATGGATACATTATCATTAGCAACATTAGCAAAATCTATGGCGTTTGTTTCCTCAGAAATTGCCATAAATTCCTTGTACCAGGCGACCGACGTAAAACCGCCATCGTAATGTTCTGAATTATTAAATAATAAAATTCCGAAATATTCTTATTTGTTTGAAATCTCACAGATTATGAATTAAGTGGGTTTCTTAAAATCTTTACGGCTTAATTTATTATATTATTTATATTATATTATTATATGAATAGTTAATTATTTACCACGTTTTATACATTTTAGAGTTTTCGAGGTGACTTTTCAGGTAACCGTTTAATAAATTGCACTATTCAAACGGTTGATTTTTTATTAACGTAGATCGGAATATTTTGTAAAGACTCCATGAATACCGTGCATTGTAAAGATACAGGTGTTCACCAAGAATTACGAAGACAAAGAAACAACAGCGTCATAAATTAGCTATCATATACAGTGATAAATGATCGTGTGTTATTCTCCCGCGTAAGTCATACGTTCCAGTTTAGCACAGTTATTGCAATCAATATATCTGAGGGAATTTGAAGCAAATTTTACATAAGAGGAGGCCAAGTCAGTACGCGAGCGAGCCGCGTTCCTACTCGGTTGAATCTACCCCGTGATAAGCAAGCGAAGTATGTTGTCCCTTCATAACAAGGTAACACTCTACAAAACTTGCATACATTCTATCATGACCTATGCAAGTGTAGTGTTCACACACGTTCTGTCATGACCTATGCAAGTATAGTATTCACACATTAAACCTCTCCAAGTCATCCAATCAGGATAGCCGTCGGAGCACCGTGGTATGTGAGAAATGTAGATCTTCCCGACGACCAAAATGTAGTACTGATACGTAAGTATTTTAACGAAGCGTCAGAACGCTACTTCGACAAAGCAGCGCGACACGTAAACCCTCATAACGTGGCTGCTGCTAATCACTTATCCGACCGCGACGGGGCAACGTAAAGCCGCCGTCGCCCGAAACATGTTTTGTCGGATCCCCCGGATTCACTCTCGGTGGTTTTAGGCCTCTCAAGCACCGGTCCCCGTCCTCGTCGAACTCGTCGATTACCACGAAGAGTTCGACGAGCGCACTAACCCATAGACACAGCCCACTGAGTTTATCGCCGGGTCTTCTCAGTGGGTCCCGATTCCGATCCGGCATTAAGCTCTGCGAAGCACTGCTCTTCCTTGGGCTGATGTTAGCAAATTCTCTCAGGTTGAGCCCGTGAGCTCACCTACCCGTCTGGGCGTAGCTGGAATAGCGCCTTAGGCTACCAGCGAATACTTAGGGATAAGGAAAAGAAACAGTTATATGCTTAAAAGATTGTCGGCTGCTTACGAGCTGTTCGATTAATTAGCGAATAGGCTATCTTAACTTATTTGAAATGAAAGTACATATCCTCTTCTCGGTTATTAATTTATTTCCAAATTCTTCCTATTTACTGGTACTAGGCAGTATTGTGAATCCGTATGGGTAAGCACCTATCAATTCGTGTGGGGAGGCCTGTATTCTGAAATTTCGAGTTTAGGTATTTGCGTTGTAAGGTAGGCTTTCTGAATGGCCTCCGATATCTACTTCACCAGGAAGGTAATGAACCGATTTACTTAGGAGAATAAAGTAAAAATTTTATTATATTTGTCAAGATTGGCGGCGGAATTCAAATGGCACCGATAAATGTCTCATACTATGTGGGTCGTAATTACTTTTTACCACTTATTTATGAGCTAGGTACTCCAATAAGTTTTAAGCGTTGCACGCCATCTGTGTTAAGTTCCTAATAAGCCGTTGTTTGGATTTTTCTGTAAATCTTCACTAGATGGCGCTAAATTATAATTCAGTGTTGTAGTGTTCACGATAGATGTCATTGCGTAAAGTACTAGAATTTACTAGATAATTATGTTTTCAAATGGCTATAGTTACAACGTTGATTGAACGAGCTCATATACCACTTAGTATTAAGTGATCTCTATGGTCTCTGGTAGCCACTTATCAGAATTTGGGCCATCAGTTTGTCTGTCAATTTAAAACAATACAAGTTTTGCTTTCTTTGTACTATTTCATAGTACTTTGATGAACACAACCAACAAAAAGCGACAGGAAATTATTATTACAGACTTTGAACAACAGGGGCCATTGGCGAGGACGTCACGTACTGTGTTCCATTGAAAGCGGACACAATGAAGAGTTTTTATACTGTTGTTAATTTTTAATTGTCTTCCTAATGTGCTATTAAAAATCGGGATTCATATTAAAATATATTCTTGAAAATTAAATGACAAAAACAGTTTATTTCTTTACACATAAGTTACAATGCGAATTTTTTATTCGGTTTTATGTCGTAACATCGAACAATATAATATAATAGTGTTAAACATCAATATAAATGCGAAATTCAACTGATGCTATTTGTATTAAATGTACTGGTAAAAACACAGCTGTAACTTTGAATTGAATGCATGAAAACATTAGGTACCTAAAACAAATAAAAAATACAAAGATAAACCATTGTAGGTAGGTATTCTGTTTTGATTTGATTTTTTGCAGAACCCCGGCACGATTGAAATTGATTTATTTGTTTTTATTCGAGAAACTAACCGTGTAATAAGTGTATATACCAACTTTATTTATTCAGGATAAACAAGCAAGAACCAAACAAATTTCCACAATTAATACAACACATGAGTGAATAGTGAACAAAAATATAACTATAAGTACTACTACAGATCAGACCTAAATCTGAAAATGGAAATTTATTTCATTAAAATTAGGTGGGCGTGTTAGTGCAATGATGAGAATCAACGAAGTTTTACTGCGCAATAAATCTCTGACATTTTGCAGTCATCCTTGGACCGGTTTGTTTTCGATGCCTAGTTGAAAGAAAACACAGTGGTTTCATACGAATATTTAAATATAAATAGATTGTACACAGCTAAAGTTTCCTATCTAAGAATAATCAGCAGGTCCTTGAGTACATACTGGTGGTAGGACCTCTTGTGAGTCCGCGCGGGTAGGTACCACCACCCTGCCTATTTCTGCCGTGAAGCAGTAATGCGTTTTGGTTTGAAGGGCGGGGCAGCCGTTGTAACTATACTTGAGACCTTAGAACTTATATCTCAAGGTGGGTGGCGCATTTACGTCGTAGTTGTCTATGGGCTCCAGTAACCACTTAACACCAGGTGGGCTGTGAGCTCGTCCACCCATCTAAGCAATAAAAAAAAAGAAATCAACTATTAGTTAAAAATACAATGATTTTGCTACTGCTAACATAACCATGTGTAACACAAATTAAACACTTTCACAGAACATAGAACACAGAACTTTTAGCGCTAGGCAGCGGCTTGGCTCTGCTCCTGGCATTGCAGACGTCCATGAGCGACGGTAACCACTCACCATCAGGTGGGCCGTATGCTCGTCTGCCTACATAAATTAGGCAATCACGACCAAAGCTTTGCGTTAATCCTCTTCGAGAACGAGAAAGAATCGAGAGAGGTTCTCGTAGGCTGCATCGTGTGAACATGGAGCCGTAGCCGCATCTACGGCAAATTTTTTTTCCTACCTAAGCTGATGGTCTAGAGCAAAGTTCCCCAATTTTTTTTGTGTCGTAAAATAATTTGGGGTCGATATAGACCACTTTGGGAATCACTGGTCTAGAGAGACCGTATCAGCGTCACCGGACTAGCAGGTGAGCTTACGGGTCTCAAACCTGATGACGTTAAACTACGACAACGGTCAGATGCGTCTTTATATATGATACTGAGTGTGCGTTTCACACGGGCGCAATGGTATTAGACGGCAGCGGCTTCGGCATTTTAAATGAACCTTTTACATTTTAACTTAAGGCGCCAGGCCACGGGTGCTACATGAGCTAGAGATAAGAGACGTCTTTCACAATTTGCTCCTTTTCCTTGATTGTACGACGCACGACCAGTGTACTTACTACTTAGTGCCAGTTTTTTAACGATAGCGTAAAAGTTAACTCAATTTTGTATGCAGTTGGAACAGCAGCAAACGTAGGCAAACGTTCCAACTCCATACAAATTTGATTTAACTTTTACACTATCGAGTGCGTTAAAAAGTTCGCACTCGGCACACATACGTCTATGGTTGCCTTTAAAATTTTGCATGCATTCATTATTTTTAGTTGTCTTCTTCCTGTACAAAACGTATGTGTTAAAATTTTATGATTATGTAAAAACTGTATCTAAGTTTTCTACTATATAACTTGCGCTTAATGTGGACAACACTGATTGTATTTAGATCATAAGCTTGTTCTAAATAAATTATTCTTGTTCTCGCATGCTGAGAATGACGCATGGAGGCATTGAAACAATGTAAACAAACATACAGAGTTGATAGTTCGCTTTAATGACCGCACTGCAAGTTTTTCACACTATACTCGGTTGAATCACAAAAAAATGTAACGGGTCATTGCTCTAACCGTCGTTTGTGCATTTGTAAGTTTGTTTACTAAAAACATGTTTATTCTATGTAGGGTTTTGTTATTAAAATTTTTATTGCGTAGTTGGATATACGAGCTTGCGTTTAGTGGTAGTTACGGGAGCCCGGGGACAGTACTACGTGAATGCCGTAATTGAGATTTTGAAACACGAGGATCAAGTCTCAATTTTTTTTTTTTTGCTTAGATGGATGGACGAGCTCACAGCCCACCTGGTGTTAAGTAGTTACTGGAGCCCATAAACATCTACAACGTAAATGCGCCACCCACCTCGAGATATAAGTTCTAAGGTCTCAGTATAGTTACAACGGCTACCCCACCCTTCGAACCGAAACGCGTTACTGCTTCACGGCGGAAATAGGCGGGGTGGTGAATGTGGTGATACCTACCCGTGCGGACTCCCAAGAGGCCCTACCACCAGTGATTACGCAAATTATAATTTTGCGGGTTTGGTTTTTATTACACGATGTTATTCCTTCACCGTGAAAGTCAATCGTGAACATTTGTCGAGTACGTAGGTATTTCATTAGAAAAATTGATACCTGCCTGCGGGATTCGAACATCGGTGCATCGCTACATACGAATGCACCGGACGTCTTATCCTTTAGGCCACGACGACTTCAAAATTCAAATT